CGTTGATCAGATCCTTCTCAGTCTGAATCTTGAACTATTCAGGCACTGACTTGGCACGGGGAATGGACAGTGGGCTTTGGAGAGATCTCTGTGAGCCCTGTTGCAAACCCGAGGCCACCCCTGGGGACCTGAGCAGCAGCTCTGGATCCCACTGTCCGGAACCCTGGCCACCCCTGCCTGCCTCCTGGTCATTCCTCCCCCAGACTTTCGCTGGCCAAGGAGACTGATTAAAAGCAACTTTGCTGGGGCGGGCTGGCTCTTTGTCCTTGGTCTGGAGTCGAGATCGATAAGCAATTGTTTTTCTGTTGGAAGAAAAAAACTCCTTGTTTGATCGTTTCTCACATGTGGTCAGGCCTCCTTGTCTTTTTAGGAACTCTGGCAGCCTGGTAAGAGCAGCTCTGGGGCTGGGGACCACTAAGGAAGCTAATATCCATTAGGACATGGAGAGCCACCTTACTCTGTAAGCAAATGCATGGTTTTTTCCTGGGGCAGAGGTCCCTCATTTTGTTTATTCAGCCCCATGGATGAGGATTTAAAACCAGGTCACCTGAATTACCGCATACATGCTTTATTATCATCCTGTGTGTGCTTGTCCTGTAGAATAAATGCCCAGGTTCAGAGTCAGTAAGTCTGAGATATGGGTGCATAGAGTTTCCCTCCCTCAGGACGCTTCCAGTTTTTCCTCCCACCTGCCCTGCCTAACAGTCACTGCTTCTCCATCGCCAGAGATCTGGATACCACAGTGCCATTATGACTAAGCGTGGTGGCGCAGTGCTTAAGTTCTGGGTGGTTGGAACCCACTCAACAGGTCTTTGGGAAAAAGATCCAGCGATCTTTCCCCGTAAAGATTACAGCATAGGAAATCCTGTGGGGCTGTTCTACTTTGTCACATGTGGGCGCTGTGAGTTGGAGTCGACTCTTTGGCGCCCAGCAACAATCTGGCAGGTGAAAGCAAGCAACTTTTCACTGTCATCTTCACTTAAGGAGAGGTGAGGTCAAGGATTCCTGTCAGTGTTGTGGGGTCTCCTTTCCCTTGGAGTCCGTGTTTGTAACACCTGCTTGCTTCAGCCTGGGGTGTTGGTGGTGACTTTTCTTTTGTACTCTTCCCAGCTCCCAAGAGCAGGGACCACATAGTCCACAGCACCTGGCTCAGAATCAGCCCGGTGACTGCTTCCAAAAGGCATGTTCCTCACACACCACTGACCACCAACTCCAGGGGGCGTGGCTTTCCAAGCCCTTCAGATTTTCCTTCCTCTCCTTCCCCCACTCCAGCCTAGCATCATTGTTGTTGTAGTTCAGTGTCTTCAGTCGAGTCGGTTCCGACCCATAGCAACCCTGTGTAGGGTTTCCAAGTAGTGACTGGTAAGCTTGAACTGCCTACCTTGCAGTTCAAACCCACTCTGCAGTCCAGAGCATTAACCCAGGACTCCTTGTTGTTGTTAAGTGCCATCTCGAGTTGGTTCTGACCCAAAGTGAGCCTGGATAGGGTTTCTGAGGAGCGGCTGGTGAGCTTAAACTACTGATATTGCTGTTCAAACGACCTTATAGTTCAGCCCAGCACCAGGACTGCAAGGCTCCTTGTTGTTATTGTTAAGTGCCTTCAAATTGATTCTGACTCTTAACGACCCCTTATAGAGTTTCCGAGTCCTGGTGCGGCGCTGTGGCTTAATGTGCCAGACTGTAAAGCTGTTTGAACTGCAAGGTCGGCGGTTCAAGCTCACCAGCCGCTCCTTGGAAACCCTATACATGGTCGCTATGGGTCAGGAAGGACTCGACGGCACTTAACAACAACACATAGGGTTTCCAAGGTGAATTAGAACCTCTGATCTTGCTGTTCAAATTGACCTTGGGGTCCAATGCATTATCCCACGGTGTCACAACGGGACTGCTGGGATTCCTTAGAGGTGACATTATATTTTTTCCTGGAAACTTTACTGTGTGTCGCCCACCAGCGAGAGCCCTTGGTCAGCATGGAACTCGCACCACCTGCCACCACAGTGGACACTATGAACCCCAGGGCTACCTGTGACGTTTGTCAGATTTTGTCAAAATCTCACATGAACCAGAGATGGAGGAAATACTTTTTTAATTGCAGTGAAGTTTGCATAAAATGAACCATTTTACAGTGTTCAGTTCAGTGGTGTCTTGCAGCCCCCACCCCTGTCTAGTGCTAGAACATTTTCTTCCCTCTAAAAAGGAGACTTTGTACCTGTTATTGGTCACTCCCAGTTTACCCGTGCCCCAGCCCACATTGTTGATAAGTGTTGTCCAGTTGGTTCTGACTCACAACCTTGTGTAGGGTTTCCAAGGAACAGCTAGTGGGTCTGAACCACTGACCTTGTGGTTAGCAGTCCAGTGCTTATCCTACAGCGCCACACAGTGGATTTGCCCGCTCTGGACATTGCTGCACAGAAGTGGTCACATGCATTGTGTCCCTCTGCGTCTGGCTTGTCCTCAGCTCCATGTCTTCAGGGTACATCCATGCCTCACTCCCTTTTAGGGCTGAATAGTATTCTGTTGAAGTCCTGGTGTAGCGTTATGGGTTAATGTGCTGCACTGCAAAGTCAGCAGGGTTGATGGTTTGAGCTCACCATCCGCTCCTTAGAAACCCAATACAGGGTTGCTACGAGTCAGAACTGAATCGACGGCACTTTATAACAACAGCAAGAAGTATTCTATTGCACGACCTGACTCCGTTTAGCTTACTTACCTGTTCACCTGCTGATGGACATTTTGGGTGGTTTCCATTTTGCAACTGTCCTGGGTGCTGCGGCTGGAAGCGTGCGTGTACAGGTTTTTGTGTGATACGGCTTATTGAGGGACTGCCAAACCATTTGATGTCAATCTTTTATAAGCTATTAGGGAAATGCTAGATCACAAATATGCCTCGAGCCTGGCTTTGAAAAAACATGAATGCCCTGGCCCATATGAGGCGGCTTTTAAAAAGTTTGTGGAAAAATTCCATTTTAATTCTATTTTTCCATACAGCCTCAGAGTGCAGGTGGCTCCTTCCTTGGGTGAGACCCCTGACACCCCTTCCCCCCAGTGGGGTACGAGCAGCCACGAGGTTGAACTGTGGTGTAGTTGGAGACCTTGGACAAGCCCCTCTCCTCCTCTTGTAAAATGGCAGCAGTAAGAGCATTAACAGTGACCCCGGTGGTTGTGAGGTCATGCTGGTGTAATGTAGAGCTTTATCTGAATTGTTGCTTAGGTGAGGAATGTAGCTTGTTGTTGTTGTTAGGTGCCATCGAGTCGGTACTGACCCATAGCGACCTTATACACCGCAGAATGAAACACGGCCCGATCCTGGGCCAACCTCACTACTGTTGCCACGCTTGAGTCCAACGGTGCTGCCACTTAGCCAATCCATCTCGCTGGGGGTCTTCCTCTTTTTCTCTGACTCTCCACCTTACCAAACATGATAACCTTCTCCAGCGACTGGTCCCTCCTGACAATATGTCCGAAGTATGAGAGATGAAGTTTGGCCATCCTGGCCTCCAAGGAGCACTCTGGCTGCACTTCTTCCAACACGGATCTGTTGGTTCTTTTGGCAGCCCATGGCACTTTCAACATTCTCCTCCAACACCATAATTCAAAAGCATCAATTCTTCTCTGGTCTTCCTTATTCACTGTCCAGCTTTCGCATGCATATGAAGTTATTGAAAATACCGTGGCTTGGGTCAGGTGCACCTTAGTCCTCAAACTCACATCTTTGCTCTTCAACACTTTAAAAAAGGTCTTGTGCGGCAGATTTGCCTAATGGAATACATCATGTGCTTCAGTGAGTGTTGATAGTTGATCCAAGAGGAATGAAGTCCTTGGCAATTTCAATCTTTTCTCTGTTGATAAGAATGTTGTTTATTGGCCCAGTGGTGAGGATTTTTGTTTTGTTTACATTGAGATGTAATCCATACCAAAGGTTGTGCTCTTTGATCTTCATCCGTAAATGTTTTAAGTCCTCTCCACGTTCAGCAAGTAAGGTTGTGTCATCTGAATATCGCAGGTTGTTAATGAGTCTTCTTCCATTATGTAGCTTAGATATAACTTGCTGTTGTTAAGTGCCGTCAAGTCGGTTCCAACTCATAGCAACCCTGAACAGGGTTTCCGAGGCTGTAAATCTTTATGGAAGCTGAAAGCCTCATGTTTCTCCCGTGGAGCAGCTGGTGGTTTCGAACTGCTGACCTTGCGGGTCACAGCCCAATTTGTAACCACTATGCTACCAGAGCTGTCAAGTGTTTATTGGCCTGCTCAGTATTTCACAATATTTGAAATAATTTGTTGTTGTTGTTCAGTGCCATTGAGTCAGTCCCAACTCTTAGCGAGCCCTGTGTGGGGTTTCCAGGTTTGACCCACTGACCTTGTAGTTAGCAGTTCAGTGCTTCTCTTACAGTGCCACATCAGAACTCCCTGGTGACCTTATGTACAATAGAACCCACTGTTGCGTGGTCCTGTGCTGTTTTCACTGTCGTCGTTTGACAAGCTCGAACTGCCCCATGGGATTGCTAAGGCTGCTGTCTTTATAGGGGCAGACTTCCACGTCGTTCGCTGTCAGTGTGGCTGCTGGGTTTGGACAGCTGACCTTTTGATTGGCAGCTGAGCACCACCAGGGCGCCTTCCAGAAAGTTCACATCCAAGGAGACCCAGTGGAGCGCAGTTCCGTTCTGAAACAGCAGGTGTCACCGTGAGTCAGAATCAACTCAGTGGCCTTGAGTTCTGTTTTGTCTTTCTCTTTCATTAGGCATTTGTGTGTGTAATCCTTGGTGTGTTGTGTGAGGGGGCTTTTAACAGAGGGACATGTGGAGTATGATTTTTGTAGCCGCCAGAGGTCAGATTGTATCATGGCTTGCACAGTTGCTTGTCAGGTGTCAAACTGGGGCCGGGAGGAGAGGAGCACCCTGGGCCTTGCTGCTGACCCTTCCTTTCTCCACAGGCGTCCCTGTCACCATCCTGTTCCCAGATGGGAGTGCCCCGGCGTGTTGGATGAGGTTGGCTCACACACCATGTCATCATGCGTCTCTAGCCAGCCCAGTGGCGACCGGGCCGTCCCCCAGGATGAGCTGGGGGGTGGGGGTGGCAGCAGCAGCCAGAAGCCCTGTGAGGCGCTGCAGGGACTCTCAACCTTGAGCCTCCGCCTGGACATGGAGTCCTTCATTATAGTCACTGAGTGTGAGCCGGGCCTTACTGCCGATGACCGAGAGGCCCCCAGGCCCCAGCTCTCCAGTCGGAAGTTCTCTCTGCAGGAACGCCCCCAGGGTGGGCCAGCAACCAGCAGTGCCTCTGACACGAATGGGCGTTGCATCTACCCATCCCTGCCCTACTCGCCTGCCGGGTCCCCGCAGTCTTCGCCAAGGCTGCCCCGCCGGCCCACGGTGGAGTCTCATCATGTCTCTATCACGGGTATACAGGTGCGTGAGCCGGAGTCCGGTGACCCCAGGACAGACGGGCAGGGAGTGGGGATGTGAGCTGGGAAGGGACTGGGTGGCTGTTAGCAAAGAGGCGTTCTCAAGCTGCTTCTGATTGTGGGCCACTGAGGCTCAATCTGTCTGGGGAACCCTGGGAGGCAGCGAGTGATTGCTTAAGGATGCAGTTATTACTTAATGGATAATGGTTTGCTCTGGAAATAGTATTGAGGGTTGCACGACGTCGCCTGTACTTCATACCACTGAATAGTGCACTTGTTGTGTGTCGTCGAGTTGGTTGCAACTCACAGTGACCCTGTGTAGAGTTTCCGAAGCCATCCATCTTCATGAGAACAGAAAGCCTCATCTTTCTTCAGTGAAGCAACTGGTGGATTCAAACTGTCGACCCTACAGTGAATAACCCCATCCATAATCTACGCTGTTCACTTAAAAATGATTACTATATTCGTGACTTTTATTTTTACTATGGTAAAAATCTTTTTCAAAAAATTCATATTGTACAACATTTTTATGAAGTACACAAACGAGCAAAATCTGTGAAGTTAGAAGTCAAAAGAGCCATCACCCAGGGCTGGGGTACGCTGAGTGGGGTTTCCGGGCTTGGGGAATGTTGTCATTTTGATTTGGCGCCTGGTGACCTGGGTGTAGTTGGTTGGTAAAAATCTCTCTCACTGCAAACTGACATTGCCTTTCCCCGTGTGTTGCCTTCTCACAGGACTGTGTGCAACTGAATCAGTACACGCTCAAGGATGAAATTGGGAAGGTAGTTATCCTGGGAGCCAGCCCCACCTTCACACCCACCTGGGACACCTCGGAGACTGTAGAGGGATCCAGCAGGGTGCAGGAGGAGCTGTGGGGGCCACTTAGCAGGGAGGGTTTGTCATGGTCTAGAGATGGTTTTGTTTTGTTTGCATTTTAAAATTCAATGTGTTTCTGCAAAAGCTCAGGAAGTTTCCAGGGAAATCCCACATTGCCATAGTGAGAGTAGTATTCCCACCACAACGGTGTGTTGACTTCTTTCCCAAGGTGTCCTTGCATCTCCTCTTAACCTGTGTTACAGTCCGTGGGTAGTCTGAGAACAGGGACAGGACAAACACTCAAAGGAGCGAAGCGGGCTAGGTATTAGAGGAAGTGAGGCCTGTGGTGCCCTGCTAACATACAGAATTAAGGACTCTTAACAGACAGCTCTTCTCATTTTGTTTTCTCAAGAAGCTGGAAGTCTAGATTTTTCACATGCCATCTCCCTCTTGCTCAGTGTTGGCAACCAATTCAATTTCTGTTGGAACTCCTTGCATCCCACCGAAACACCCTGGGAAGCCAGATCTGGCCAGTGGGCTGCTGGTTTACAATTGCCTGTATTAAGAGGGCTCGCGTTGCATATGCTAAATCTGGATAGCGTGTCATGGGCGTCTCCCTTTTTCCAGGGCTCCTATGGTGTGGTCAAGTTGGCCTACAATGAAAACGACAACACCTACTATGTGAGTATCCACATCTTCCCCCACTCCCACTCCAAGCTGATCAGAGACAATGCCTCCTCTCCACCTCCCGGCTTCTGGGAAGGATGCCATAGCTGTGATGTTCTTCTGTTGTTAGCTCACTGTCTGCATTAGGAAGGAAGTGGTGGTCCCACTTCACAGATGGGGACATGAAGCAAACGTCTCTTATGCCTAACTGGGCTGCGTTTCTTCACCCTCCATGGTGCTGAGTCAGTGTGGTAGAGAGACATGGTGCCCTGGTACTTCAGTCAGTCTGCCACATAACTTAGGGCAAGTGATGGCACCTCTGAGCCTCAGTTTCCCTACCTCACTCATGTCTTGATTCAGGGGCAGTGAGTTCCCATGGTGTCTTATCTGGGAGGACTCACCAAAACCCAGGGATGGTGGGGCCCTGGGAGACCAGTGTCCATGCACCCCAGTGACTACTTGCTCACCTCCGTTGATGAGACGCTCACTACGTTGAGGTTCCTGGGGAGCTTGAACTAGGGGTGTCCTCACTGCTTTGACTTCGTGCTGGGTCTTTTCTCCCACAGGCAATGAAATTGCTGTCCAAGAAGAAGTTGATCCGCCAGGCAGGCTTCCCACGTGAGCTTGTGGGGGCAGGGACTTCCTTTGGGGGGCGGGGACTTGGGAAAGATTGGGCAGACCCCACTGAATTGTACCTACACTGAGTGACTGGGAGGAAACCTCGACCCCTAAGACAGCGTCAAACCTACCACTGAGGTTCTTTACTCATTTTTGTTACCATTTACTTACTAAAGTTCACAAAGGCATCAAGTAAAATTATCCAGTAGAGGAAAACAGTCTGGAAGTTCCTCAAAAAGTTAAGCATAGAGTTTCCATCTGACCCAGTAGCTCTACTCTAGGTAGACAACCTAGAGAACTGAAAACGTAGGTCCCACAGAAATGTGTACACAAACGTCCACAGTGGCAGTGTTCAGAAGAACCATAGTGTGGACATGACTCAAATGTCCTTCAGTTGATGACCAAAATGTGGCCCGGTAGTACAGTGGAGTGAGTATTGTTGTTAACTGCCGTCGAGTTGATTCCGACTCATAGTGACCCTTATAGGGTTTCCAAGGAGCAGCTGGTGGGTTTGAACTGCCGACCTTGTGGTTCCCAGTCCAGTGCTGATATTAGTCTGCTATAAAAAGGAATGGAGTCCCTTTATGGCACTGTAGGATAAGCGCTAGACTGCAAGGTCAGTTTGAACCGCTAGCTTGGCCGTTCAGATGCCCAGCTGTTCCTTGGAAACCTTATACAGGATTGGCATGAGTTGGAAGTGACTCAACGGCATCTAGCAACGTAAAAAGGAATGAGGTTCTGATGCATGCTACAACATGGATGAATCATGAAAACATGCGGAGTGAGCAGTGCCATACACAGTGTTGTTGTCGTTAAGTACTGTTGAGTCAGTTCCGACTCGTAGCAACCCTGTATAGTGTTTCCGAGGCTGTAAATTTTTTCTGGAGCAGAAAGTCTCAACCATCTCCCCTGGAGCAACTGGTGGGTTTGAACAGCTATCCTTGTGGTTCACAGTCTAGTGCTTATCCTACAGAGCCACGTGTTCCGTCTATGCTTTATAGAATTCCACATGTCTGAAGTGTCCAGAATAGGCAAATGTGGAGACAGAGAGTAGACTAGCAGCTGCCAGGGGCTGAGGGGAAGAAGGGGCAGGGACAGTGACTGACTGGACATTGAGTTTCTTATTGCAGTGACGAAAATGTTCTGGAAGTGGGTAATGGTTGGTGATATATACTGTGACTATATTGAAAACTCTGAACTAAACATTTTTAACAGTAACTTTGATGGTATGTGCATTATATCTCAAAAAATTTTTGATTTTTTAAATAGATTTTGTGTCTTCTCCAGGTCGTCCCCCGCCCCGAGGCACCCGGCTTGCCCCGGGGGGCTGCATCCAGCCCAGGGGCCCCATCGAGCAGGTGTACCAAGAAATCGCCATCCTCAAGAAGCTGGACCACCCCAACGTGGTGAAGCTGGTGGAGGTGAGCCAAGGAGGCCCGGGAAGAAGGCGTGGCCTAGATGCGGCACCAGTGTTTCTAGAAAGAGCCAAGCCACACCCACCCGTCTGGCCAGGCGCAGTGGTATTAGAAGCTCCAGGCCCCTTAGCACTTGTTATTTCGTTCTGTTGTGCGTAAGGTCGCTATGAGTCAGTACCGACTTGATGGCACCTATTTTATTTATTTATTTATTTATGTATTTTTAGCTTTTTCTTGTGAATTGAGTGAAGGTTTACAGACAAGATCATCAACTTTACCTTCCACAAATCATACATTTTGTTTCATCTCAATGATTACAATCTCCTCCCTGCAACAACAGTTATCCTACTTCCTCCCTGCGGCTCCCCATTTACATCTTATATTTCACAAGTGAACAAAGCAAAAATAGTTGATGCACACATACAAAAAGAAAATATATATTCATTTAATTAAATGTCCAAAGGGCATATTCTACAAGCCAGCCTCTTGCCCACAGGCACACAGCCTTACTCAGTTCATGGGACTAGAATCCACAGCTGACAGAGCCTATATTATCATTCACATGTTGGTGGTGGTGGTGATAGTGTGCTGTGGGTTGGTTGGATATGTGCCATGGTGTCAGTTTCGACTCATTGCGAACCTGTATAGGATTTCCGAGGCTGTAAATCTTTACAGGAGCAGAAAGCCATGGTGTCAGTTTCGACTCATTGCGAACCTGTATAGGATTTCCGAGGCTGTAAATCTTTACAGGAGCAGAAAGCCTCATTTTTCTCCCGCGGAGCAGCTGGTAGTTTCGAACTGCTGACTTTGAGGTTAGCAGCCCGACTTGTAGCCACTACTCTATCGGAGCTCCACATTTTGCAGCTGACAATATCGAGGCTTAGAGGAATGCTGTGTCTTGCCCTTCGCCCGTTTCTGTCTTGTCTTTTCCTCTGTATATACAGGTGTCAGGAAAGCATAGAGGAGTCCCCTCAGCAGGTTTGCTCAGGCTTGGAGAGATATCCTTGTCAAGTTACAAAGGCAGGGAAACTTCAGGCCGCCATGTGCCCCTCCCTATTTCCTCCTGTTGACTCAGATGGCCTTTGGGAGATGCTCATGTCTCCTTTACCAGATTCCTCCTCTGTCAGGAGTTCCAGGGTGGTGCACATACCTCAGACACTCGGCTGTTAGCTGAAAGGTGGAGGCTGAATCCACCCTGAGGTACCTGGGAAGAAAGGTGATTTGCTTCTAAAAAATCGGCCACTAAAAATCCCCAGGGAGCACACTTCTACTGACCCACATGGGGTCGTCAAGAGTTGGAATTGACTCCATAGTAACCGGTCCCTTTTGTAGCCTCCTTTCTGTGAGTGAATTCTTGAGGACTTTCTGTGAGTGAATCCTTGAGGACTGGGCTGGGGGGAGTCTGGGCCTGATCTCTGTGCCCCTCCTCTTATCATGGGAAGACGGGCCCAGACAGCCTCCTACAGGTGCACACAGTGTGTTAACGCTTCTGTGTTCATCTCCTTCTTTCTCCTGCTCATGCCTGTTCCATGTGTCTGCCAACAGGTCCTGGATGACCCCAACGAAGATCATCTGTACATGGGTAAGAGCCCTGTCTTCTCACCAACCATACTTAACCACTTGTGCTTGTCCAAGCCCAGAGTCCTCACCAGGAGGCCCCTCCCACAGAGAATAACACCCCTTTCTGAGTCCTGACCCCAGAGGCGGTAGGCCCTGGTTTGAAGGAGGTGGGAGAGAACTTTTTTTGTAGGTTTCCTATTCATTCATTTGAAAATATTTATTGAGTACCTAGTTTGTGCCTGGAGTCCTAGTGTGGCGCTGTGGGTTAATAGGCCAGACTATAACACTGTTTGAACTGCAAGGTTGGCTGTTCAAGCTCACCAGCGGCTCTTCAGAAACCCTATACAGGGTCGCTAGGGGTTGGAACCAACTTGGCAACACTTAACAAAAAATAACAAGTATGTGCCAAGTTCTCTTCTGGGCACTGAGACTGCAGTGGTGGGCAAGAAAGACACGACTCCTGCTCTTAGGAAACTGATAGTCTGGTCGGGGCAGACAGATGTGTATTAACTTCCTTGTTGTTAAGTGGTACCAAATTGGTTCTGAATCATGGTGAGCCAGTATAGAGTTTCTAAGGAGCGGCTGATGGGTTTGAGCCCCCAACCTTGTGGTTAGCAGCCCAGTGCTTATCCTGTAGCGCTACACCAGGACCCTATTAACTACCTGTTGTTCTTGTTAAGTGCCATGGAGTGGTTTTGACTCATAGTGACCCTGTATAGGTTTTCTGAGGAATAGCTGGTGGGTTTGAACTGCTGACCTTGTGGTTCAAAGTCCAGTGCTGATCCAACAGCAGGAGTCTAGGGTGGCTTAAAACCACTGAAATTAATTCACACAGTTCTGGAGGCCACAAGTCCAAGATCAGGGATCAGTAGAGCTTTGTTCCCTCTGAAGGCTCTAGGGAAGAATTCCAGTATCTGGTGGCCCCCAGCTTTCCTTGGCTTGTGGCAGCATCACTCCAGTCTCTGCCTTTCTCTTCTTATAGCCCCCTTCCCTGTGTCTCTGTGTTCTCTCTCCTTTTCATAGAAGGACACTGGTCATTAGATATAGGGCCTACCTCCTATACTGCTCCAGAGTGACTGTATGTTAACTTGATTCCATCTACAAAGACCACATCTTTGGCTCTGGGTGCACATGGGTTGGTGCGGGGGAGAAAATACAGGAGCGATTGGATGGTTTTGAGCAAAGGAGCAGAATGACAAAAGGGGTCAAACTTCAAAGAGGAGTTTCCCAAAGTCTTTTGAACCCAAACAACTTCATGGACAGCTGTTTTTAATATCTTGAGGCAACAGTGCTTACAGGAGGCATGCTCATATTTGCTCTGTGATTCCAGTGGTTTTGCAAACCCAGACCCAGTTCTCTGTGACTCTGTAGTCTGCACTCTTGTACGATGAGAGCAGATACGGCAGCGTGTGAATTCTCAGGCCAGATAACTAGGCATAAGGAAGGGAAGGGTCCTGCCGCTGCCGGCAATCGTAAGGGGAAGAAGCGTACGTTTTTCAAAGTTAAAAGGCTCTCTCTCACCACACCCATTCCCAAGACTGGTCAGACTGAGTGACTTGGAAAGGACCTGTTTAAACAGGCCACTTCCCTCTTGCCGACTGACTGATGGTGTTTAGGGGGTGGGAGAAAGATGTAGACATTCCTGAAGTTGCTTTCACATATAGGCTTAAATAGCCAAGGCAGGATGGGGCCTCCTGAGCCCCCATGGACAAGGACATAGCCATGGAGGGTAGAGCTGAGAGTGAAGTATCCAGCTGAGTTGCACAAGAACAGCTAAACTTGCAGATAGTGTTCATTTGACATAGCCTTGATGGCTTGATGATCAGAACTCAACTAGAGGAGATGAAAAACAATTTTTGATAGAGGAAATGAATGTAAATTGCTACCATTTGATGAACTTGTTCTATACTTATGGTTGTAGTAGCTCAAAATACCAACTGAGAGGGAAGGAGTCTTCACATCAATTATCCTGTCCCCTCTGTATACAGGGTTGATAGGGATGGACAACTTAGACATTGGCTACCTAAAATGAGGGAGTGATAAAGGCATGAAGTGACTGGCTTACAAGTTCTCAAGAGGGAGTTTAGTTTCAGAGTGTGCAGGGGAAGGTAGAGCCCCCACTGAATAGTTGGCATCTTGTCTAGACAGGTCTGATGAAAAGAGATGGGGTTAAGATTCATTAGTGAGTAATCGTTATCTTGAGTAATTGCAGTTGTCACAACTGTAAAGGTAGAAGTTTTGTAACAAAAACGGGGGAGTAGTTAATCTTACTGACCAGAAAAAGAGGACCCTAGGACCATGAAGGAAGAAGTGCATGAGTGGAATGTGGGACCCTATCCAGAGAAGCAGCGACACCAGAGATGGAGGCAGAGATGAGGATGTGGAGAGAGAGAGAGTAGCTGAGGACTCTAGACTCCTGGAAAGTGAAAGACTGAGTACTGGCAGCCAGGAGGCAGGCTTGTAGAATGTGCCCTCTGGCTGTTTAAATTGTTATATATTCCTGAATGTTTTTGAGTATACCACCCCACCCCCTAAAAAAAAAACAACGAAGAGGGACTAGAAGCAAATACTGATGAATGATGATGTATGGAAGAGATTGTAATCACTGCAATGAAATGATGAGTGTAAAACTGATGTTCTCCCATGTGAACTATCACTCAAGTCACAATAAAAATTAAAAAAAAAAAAAGGAAAGGCTGGAGTTGAGAGGATGGGGTTCCCCAGCCCATGGTATTTTCTTTTTATCATAGCCTGAAGATGACCCCAAAGGCAGGGAGAGGTGGGGGAGTTCATTTCTTTTTCTGGTTAGAACACATGATCTTTTTGCCTGAGGAGCCAACTCCCTCCCTCAGTGACCCCAGCTTGTGGAGAGAGAGCTCTGAAACAACCTTTTTAAAAAATTTCTAATAATGCAACCTTGTTTACTGAAAGGGAAGAGGACTCAAAATACTTACTGATGAAGATCAAAGATCACAGCCTTTGATATGGGTTGCACCTCAATGTAAAGAAAACAAAAATCCTCACCACTGGAGCAATACATAACATAAAGATAACTGGAAGAATAGTTGCTAGTTATCAACGACTTCATTTTACTTGGATTCAACCATCAACACTCATGGAAGCAGCAGTCAAGGAATCAAACCATATATTGCATTAGGCCAATCTATTGCGCAAGATCTCTCTGAAGTGCTGAAGAGCCAAGATGTCATTTTGAGGACTAACGTGCACCTGACGCAAACCATAGTATTTTCAGCGACCTCATATGCATGTGAAAGGTGGACAGTGAATAAGGAAGATTGTAGAATTGATGCATTTGAGTTATGGTGTTGGAGGAAAATACTGAAAGTACCACGGACTGCCAAAAGAACAAACAGGTCTGTGTTGGGAGAAGCACAGTCAGAGTGCTCTGTGAAAGCCAGGATGGCCAGTACTTCGTCTCCCATATTTTGGACATATTGTCAGGAGGGACCAGTTCCTGGAGAAGGATATCATATTTGGTAAAGTGGAGGGTCAGAGAAAAAGAGGAAGATCCCCAATAAGATGGACTGGCACAGTGGCAGCAGCAATGTCTTATGAGGCTGATGCAGGAGTGGGGGCAGTGTTTCATTCTGTTGTGCATAGGGTTGCTGTAAGTTAGTACCAACTCAGTGGCACCTAACAACAACAATGTACACTCAGGATCCCTGGTGGCACAATGGGTTAAGTGTTGGATTGCCAAGCAAAAGGTTGGCAGTTCAAACCCACACCCACTTTGCAAGAGAAAGATGAAGCAGTCTGTTTCCCTAATGATTTGCAGCCTCGGAAACATACAGAGCAGTTCTGTTGTGTACTAGAAGGTCTCTGTGAGGTGCACTTGACTTGACGCCAGTGGGTTGCCATGCACTTACTTGAGCACACAGAGATGAGTCCAAACAACAGACAACTTCAAAGTCCTTCTCCATGGGGTTTTGAAACTGATTGTACTACTTTTTCACCTAAACACCATCACCACCAAAATACAGCTTTATATTCTCAGTTAGATTGGTCCCAGCAAGAAAATTAAGTAGCTGTACCATATCCAGAGTTTCCAGCTTGTTCTTCCTGGTTGTCATGGCCGATGAAGTAATGCTGGACAGTCCCAAATTACAGCTGGATACCCTGCTAGAAACTTAATCTTCCTCTTAGGAAACAAAGACAGGTTGTGTGTTACCTAGCAACCAAATCTCTTGGTGTTGTTAAGAGCCTTAGAGTCAGTTCTGACTCATATATAGGGTTTCCGAGGAGCAGCTGATGGGTTTGAAGTGCTGATCTTGTGGTTTGCAGTCCAGTGCTAATCCTGTGGCACTACGCCAGGGGTCTCTTAATAGACAGTAGGAAAGAAAGATGTCCCACTCAAAAATGGCAGTTGACCAGGTGCTTTGAATGTGGGTCACTGTCCATGGTCCTAGTGATAATCCTGTCTTCTGCATCAGGCTCCTGAAAGGGTTTACTTCTGAGTTTCCCATTCCATGGCTTTGACCCATACTTTTTCCTGTTTTCTTTAACCAAATTTTTATATATTGGTGCTCGTTCTGATTTTGCTTCGTCAGCCATGACTGAACTGGTTTGTGAACCAGTTTAAAGTCCTGGTCATATGACTTAGCAATTCCTCTCCTAGGTATTTGCCCAAAGAGTTGAAAGCAAATATTCAAACAAATATGTGCACACAAATGTTCATAGTGATACTGGGGCTTAGTAGCCAGAAGATGGACACGACTCAAATGTCCATCACCTGATGAGTAGATAAAAAAATGTGGCACATTAATACAGTAGAGTATTATTAGGCATAAATAGGACTAAAATCCTGATACATGCTACAACGTGGACGAACTTAGAAAATATTAGCTAAGTGAGAGAAACAGACACAAAAAGCCACTTATTGTCTGATTCCACCATCTATGTTATATGCAGAATAGGCATATGTATAGCGATGTCTTAGATTAGTGGTTGCCAGGGGCTAGGGGCAGGAAGAGTGGAAGACAACTGCTTAATGAGCTGTGATGGATGTACTAAATGAGGGGTGATGGATATACTAAACACCCCTGAAATGTATACTTTCAAACCCTTAATTTTATGTTATTTGAATTTCACCTCAATTTTAAAAGTACAGTCTAAAATATCCTGTGCTTTCTGTGAACTCAGCTTATCTAACATTTAGTGGGCGATGGGGGTGGTTCCTCTGTGGGACTGATAGGAATTGCTATGGTAGGAAGCATTTATGTGCTGTGCGTGATTGTGGCTCCCAAAGGTTCCTATTCAGAGGGCAGTAGATGAGTTGACCTCTGAAGGTGGTGGGGAAGTCCCACCCCCATCCCTTGCTCCAGGTCGTGGTTTGGAAAAAGATTCATGGGAAGAAGGGTCAGAGGGTTGGCTTGTCATGAGGGCAAAGGAATGGAATGGAACCGTATCATCCAACTGCACTCCACTGTGGCCTGGCTCGGTCTTGACAATGCAGAAGTTATTGAGGGAGACCTGTTCTATTTCTTGCATCAAAACCTTCCTAGGAATCAGAAGCCCCATAATTTACTTTTTTGGACCTAAATAAGTAGGCATGTGAGGCATACCCTTCTAGCCTGTTAAATGGCATCAGGTACCTCAGGACCTGGGTCTGGGAAGGGACAGGAGGGTCTGGTGAGGGTCGTTCACAGTGCCAGGAGTCTCCAGGTTGTGAGGGAATGAGAAAAGGTGCCTCAGTGTGCACTCATGACCTTCCTCCCAAGGGTCTTTAAAGTAATCAATCGCTTGAAGGTCTTAAAGGCAAAAAGGGAATTTTCCCAAGGGAGGACTCTGCCTGTAGACTCTAAATAGACATCCTGCTGAAAGTGCTGTGCTCTTCACTATCTGCTGTCCACTCTTCTCTTTGGCTGCTCTTCACTCTTCTACTCTCCCCTCCAATTTTTCTCTACTCTTCCTTCTTCCACTTCATTTGGAGACTAGGAGTGAAGCTAGGTTGAGCTCCAAGGACATCAGCAATCTCGGACCGTTGCCAGTTTGGTTGTCTGTATTTTTTCTCTCCCTGGCCCCTGATACTGCTTTTTGTGCTTCTCAGTGTCTCTAAAGGCCAAGGGGTTGGGGGAGGACAAGAGGAAAGTGGAGTGTCTGCTCATCAATGTAACAGTCTACCCCCTTCTCTTCCCTTACAGTGTTTGAACTGGTCAACCAAGGGTGAGTGTCCAGCTCCCAGTGTGGGTGGCGTCAGGTACTCTGAGAACCACAGTGTTGAGTTGGTGGCTCTGGGCTCTAGACAGGGCCATGGCCATGTACATCTGACTTGACTTTCACATGTGTGTCCACCTTTCAGGCCTGTGATGGAGGTGCCAACCCTCAAGCCTCTTTCTGAAGACCAGGCCCGGTTCTACTTCCAGGACCTGATCAAGGGCATTGAATATTGTAAGCGGGCTCTGTGGCAGGACGCATTCCAGGGTGGTGGGCGGAGAGTGGAAAGTTACTTCCCTCCTGGAGTGTGAGGAGGCGGGCGGGAAACGAAATTGTCTGAGAGGCAAGAGTCTTGCACAGAGCCGTCTTGGGGCCAGAAGAGATGCTTACAGTGGCTTTTATACTGGTGCCCAGCATGCAGCACTTTCTGTGTGTACAAGTTGATGTGAATTTGGGAAATGAAAATATACTTGACTGTCATAAGTCTTGAAGTTTGCTGCTGTGAGCTAAACTGAGCTCAGACTTTGTGTGCAGTGCTACCTGTGAATAGCGGCTGGCAGTAGGCTGTCACTAACAGGCTTTCACTTCTTATTGGTAAGGAGGGGGAACTTCCTTAAAGATATTCTTCCCCTTGTCTTTCATGTGAGTGCCCAGCAGATTAGGGAAAGGGAAGGCTGGAAAGGGCCTGAGGCCATAGAAGACATGGTATGTTAGGCTGTGTGGGCCACGCAGAGATCCTCACGTGACTCTCCTACCCCCTCCCATTTGGTGTGTCTCCTGCCAACCAGTACACTACCAGAAGATCATCCACCGGGACATCAAACCTTCCAACCTCCTGGTTGGAGAAGATGGGCATATCAAGATTGCTGACTTTGGCGTCAGCAATGAGTTCAAGGGCAGTGACGCACTCCTCTCGAACACCGTGGGCACGCCTGCCTTCATGGCGCCTGAGTCCCTCTCAGAGACCAGGAAGATCTTTTCAGGAAAGGTATCCAGGCTGACGGGAGGGGAATGTGGGTTGGACTTCCTCCCCTCCTGAGTTCTGCCTGGGTTAGGGTTCTGTTGGTTGTAGGTGGCAAAAATCCAACTGAAAGTGGTGTAAGCAACTAATCCATTGATCTATAACCGAGGAGTTGGGGTATGGTTGACTTTGGGCACGGCTAGACAGAGGGATCCAAACAGGAATTGTCTTTGTCCTGCTCCCAGCTGTTTGCCTTGTATTGGTTTCAGGGACAGATAGGCCTGTCACCAGCAGATCCAGACAGAATTCTATCCGTTTACCAACTTCAGTGGATATCACCCTCATTCCTCTTTCTGAATAGATTGAGCAAAAATCCTGAAGTTGGTGTCCATCCTTGAACCACTAATTGTGCCTAGGGGATACAGGTTTCTCATTGCCAGGCCTGGGTCATGTGCCCACCACACAAATCAGCAAGTAGTCTCACCCCTTTGCCAATGCTGTGGGTGAGAGTCAAGACGAGGTGGCTCCCCAAAGGGAAAACTGGAGACTTGGATGCTGGCCAGGCGGTATAGTCGATGCCCTCATGCTAAGCTCTCTTCTTGCAGGCGTTGGATGTTTGGGCCATGGGTGTGACGCTGTACTGCTTTGTCTTTGGCCAGGTAACAACAGGGTGGGGTGTCCTGTCCCCTGATTGCTGTTGGGTGGTCCCTGGACTGGCTACCAGTTAACACCTTGGAGGGGAAACTACTTATCATCTGTTATTCCTCAGCTAGATCTGTAGGAAATTATGGATACTTTTACAAATACATCTTTCTGTATATAAGGATCACATACGTGAAAACACAAAACAAGCTCTGCAAGCAGAAGACTTGGCAGAGGTGCTAGGGTTTGTATATAATTGAATCTAAGGCAAGGACAGCAGATGCGGCACCTCTTCCCGCTCCTGAGCCCAAGGCAGACATTACTAATCAATAACTGCTCTCTTTCCCATGGTTACATCCATTCTTCCAGGGCATATACCTGAGCCCCTCTTGGTGCCTTCTGCTGGGTAGGAGCATCCGCTTGTCACCAGGGAGGTGGAGAAAAGGCTTCAATCCCAGCTTCCTCCCTGCCCACAACTCCTCATCTTTTTGCGCTTCTGCCTCCTCTTCTGGAAGATTAGAATAATAATGATAATGTGTCTGATGCCTTTTGAGAGAACTGATAGAAATAACCTGACTCCGATAATTTCTTAGCTCATTAGCTGCTTCTTGAGTTCTTATTTTGTACTAAGAGTTTTTCTAGGCACTGGGAATATAGCCATTAGCAAGACAGACAAATCCCTGCTCCCTTGGGATTGACAGAATTAAAAAATAAACAATATATATAAGGAGGCATCAGAAAGGTCATGGAAAAACTCGATTATATTTTAATTCCATTTTTACACAAATATTTTGAAGCCCTCACATATACATGTAAGGAACTCTGGTAGCGTAGTGGTTATGAGTCGGGCTGCTTATCTTAAGGTCAGCAGTTTGAAACCACCAGCCGTTCTGCAGGAGAAGGATGAGATTTTCTGCTCCCGTAAAGATTTACAACCTCAAAAACCCTGTGCAGGGTCACTATGGGTTGGAACCGACTCCACGGCACACTTGTTGTTGTTGTTGTTAAGTGCTGTGGAGTCGGTTCCAACCCATAGCGACCCTGTATAGGGTGTCCGAGGAGCAGCTGGTGAGCTTGAACTACCAACCGTATGATTCAAATGGCTTTACAGTCTGGCTCATTAACCCACAGCGCCACACCAGGACTCTCCACGGTACACTACCACCACATACATATGTAAATATGTGATAATAAGCATACATCAAATATGTAAATAAGTCATATATAAAAGGCATAATAATTACATAAGATGCGAAAATCGGTGGGATACTGTCAGAGATACCTGCTAGGATAAGAACTAACAGCGAGGTTGCAGGGGGCTGGGCTTTCTTACACAGGGGGGCCCAGGGATGGCCTCCTGAGAAGGTAAACTGGGCAGAGGCCTTATTAAAGGGAGAGAGCATCAGGAAGAACATTCTAGGCAAAGGAAACAGCAGGTAGAATGTGAGCCCTTGAAGCCCTTAGCACACGAACTAACACAGGCCTGGCCCTGGCTGGTCCCTGCAGCTACGACTTGGCCTTTGTTGTCCTAGATATTATTGTTCACCTGGCAGGTGAGAAGAGGTCTTGGCTTTTGTAAAAATAAGTAAACTGAGGCACAGGCCCTGAGGAAGACAGCAGTGGAGTTGGACAGGGCTCTAGGCCTCCCAGAACTTGGAGATGGGTGCTACTCCCCACCCCCTAGAAGATAGCTGTAGCCAGTGATATTTACTGTGGAGGTGCAGACCACCCCCTGATACCATCAGAGTGGGTGATACCAAAATGACACCAGGGTCAGCAGCATTGTAGTGGAGGGGCTGCCAGGTAGTGGCATCCTGAAGCTTGGTGTCACTTGTCATCTCTGCTACTTCTGTTCCCTGCCACCTGCCTTTCAGGGTGTGGGCAGTCAGACTATGGTGCCCCCAAAGGAGGGGGGCTTGCTGGACAGCCCTGCTCACAAGGGTGTATGTGACATGGCGTTACACTGGGTGATGGAAACCGTAGTGTGGCCGCCCCTGACCCCTCTGACCTCAGCCTTTCTCCACAGTGCCCATTCATGGATGAGCGGATCATGTGTTTACATAGTAAGATCAAGAGCCAGGCCCTGGAGTTTCCTGACCAGTGAGTACTCCATCCCCTGCCTGAGCCCCCCCAACTCCCCGCGTCCTGCGTCTGTCTCTCACCATGGCGTGTCTCCCCAGGCCCGACATAGCCGAGGACCTGAAGGATCTGATCGCCCGCATGTTGGACAAGAACCCTGAGTCGAGGATCCTGGTGCCGGATATCAAGGTACCCGAGTGCCACTGGCCCCATGGGGGCTGCCCAGCTTGGCTGCATTCTGTGCTTGGAGTTGGGTTTTTTGCTCAGCCCACCCCTCCCACCACAGTACCCACCTGTCTTGGCACCACTGCCCTCCTGGCCTGGTGGGCCTCTGGGTTGCTGGGGGCTCATGACTGGAGGGAGGAGCCTTGGGGAGGCTTGTACTCGTGAGTCAGGCATTTATTTGTTCATCTGTGGCTGACCACCAGGCAGCCTACACTCACTCCCAATGGCTTTGGGGCCTCTGTGCATGCCGCAGCCCTCTGCCAAGTCCTGAGCCTTCCCTGGCCCCTGCCTTCAGAATCAGGGGTCAGTCCCTTCAAAAAAGTGAGCGAGGAGGAAGCTGCTGGATGATCTGACCCCCTCTGGTCTGCTGAATCCCACCTGGTGTACGAGGCACAGTTAGGAGAGCCCCTTGGCACCGCCACCCCCATGCTCATCCCAGCCATACATGCAAACATCTAGCCCTTTAGAGATTTGTACTGGAGACCCCTGGACACCTAGCTAATTAGCACTGGAAGTATCTTAGAGGGGCAGCACAAGGTGTCTGGGAGTCAGGGCTCAAAACCCCAGGGGAGGTGGGGTGCAGAGCCTGCCTGGGTCTCCTCCTGGTTGCTTGCCTCTGCTGGTCTCGTGCCCAAGCCTCTGTGTCACGTTCTGTGAAGTCGGGAGAGTTCTGCCTACCAGAGCTGAGCCTCCTGGAACCCTTCTACGGACTGCATGCCTTTCAGCCTCCAAACCCCACCCATTCTGCCTCTCCACCTTTCTCTGTCCCCTTATCTCTCTTGCTGGCCTGCCCACCCGCCTACCCACCCACCCACCTCTCTGCATGCCTGGCCGCAGTGCCCTCTACCCTGCTGTGGATCTCTGTGTGCTCTCGTCCTCCACGAGCTGGCTACCGCCTCACCCCTCTGTCGTTCGTTGAAGCTGCACCCTTGGGTCACAAGGCACGGGGCAGAGCCGCTGCCGTCGGAGGATGAGAACTGCACCTTGGTCGAGGTGACGGAAGAGGAGGTCGAGAACTCAGTGAAACACATTCCCAGCCTGGCGACCGTGGTAAGGCGGCATGGCCCGCTGCGCTGCCTGGGAGCCGAGACAGTGCCCGAGGCAGCCTGAAGGGGCCCCACAGCAGCATCGGAGAGCAGACGTTCAGCCAGTCTCCAGTGCCACCTGAGGGGCACCTGTCCAAGGATCCTAGGCCCCTGCCTGTTCTTCCTGCTTTCAGGGCTCATTGGTGAGGCAGAGGACGGGCCCAGACGGGTCCCCCTGGTTCTCCTGTCTTCTCGAGCAACAGTAGTAGTGTTTTTGCTGGGTGGGCTCCTACCAGGGACGGGGGCTGCAGACTCCCACATCACAGGTGTCAGAAAGTTCTACCTGGTTCCTCAGAGCAGAGTGCTGCTTAGGAGCCACTGGGCCCACTTTTTGTAGCCTGGAGTTTGGGTTGCACCCAGGAAGGAGCCGAAACATGGAATCCTTTTGACCAAATCTTGGCCGGGAGGGAGACCAGGAGCCTAGAGCTCGGGGGTCCATGCACTGCCTGTGTAGACTATCATGGCTGCCGCCACCATAGGCATCCTGAAAGCTGTGGGAGTATAGCTGACGCGATTGGCCAGCTGTGACCAGGCAGGGCCCTGGGACTCTGGGGGAGCCACCTGGACTAGCTGCAGAGCCCTGGAGTGGCCAGCCTCCAGGATAGGCACCTCTAGGATAGGCGTTTAGATGCTGGCTCCTTCTCCCAGCTTCGCACGCAACCTCCTGCTTCCCACACACCTTCTCTTTCCAAACTGGAACCGCTGGCCGGCTGGGCACCACCACATCTTCCTCTGCCTTGTCTGGGACCTCTGACCCTGAAAGCTCACCCATGCCTCATTCCTCATTGGCCCTCCACCGCCACACCCACTCCCACACCAGCAATGGGTGCAGCGGCCGAGTTAGATTCCTGGTGCCCATTATGGTGTGTCTCCAGTTCTGTCCTAAGTCCAGGCGTGAGGGAAACCCCAAACTGTCCTTTTCTGCCTCCTCTTTGGAGAACTCAGCTGGCCCCAGAGATCAGCATTGTGTGAATTCATTTTTCAGAAAAGACTTTAAAAATATTTTTCATGTTAATTTGATTTTGTTGTTAAGAATATACCATTTAACCATTTCTAAATGTACAATTCGGTGATAACGATTACATTCTTCGAATTGTTCCTCCCTCATTAGCATAAACTCATGTGTCTTTCCCACCCCCCCACCCCCCAAATGCTCCCATCTAATCTTACAAGTTGCTGTGGTCAATTTGATCCCATCTAGATACTTCTTTTAAAAACATAATACTAAATAAGCTAGTTTTTTTTTTTAACTTGTTAAGTACCGTGGAGTCAGTCCCAACTTATAGTGGCCCTGCGCAGGGTTTCCAAGGCTGTAAATCTTATTGGGGAGCAGAAAGCCTTATCTTTCTCCTGCGGAATGGCTGGTAGTTTTGAACTGCCAACCTTGAGGTTAGTAGCCCGACTCATAACCACTACGGTACCAGAACTGTTGTTGTTGTTATGTGCCATGGAGTCGGTTCCGACTCATAACGACCCTGTACAGGGTTTCTGAGGCTGTAAATCTTAACAGGAGCAGAACGCCTCATCTTTCTCCTGCGGAACAGCTGGTAGTTTCAAACTGCTGACCTTGCGGTTCACAGCCCGATTCGTAACCATTACGCTACCAGAACTAGTTAAGCTAAATTGTTATTTGGCTTTAGGAAGATTTCAGGGAATGTTTTGGTTTACGGATGAAAGATTATTTTAAGGCAGTAGTTTCTAGGATTCATGCAGCCTCCGGAATATATGAGAAATTTTAATTCCATTCTGCCTTTTCCTCCTTTTGATCAGGATTCTTGTATGTAATCTTTCATCAAAATGTTCAGTAATGAAAGCTGGATACCATCCAGTTCTTCTGGTGTCATGGCAAATGAGAGTTCGTGGAGGCAGTTAGCCACAGGGTCCATATCCTCCTCTTATTCCTGACTCTCTGTCTTCCTCTCTTGCTCTGGGCGAGTAGAGACCAGTTGGTATGCTTGAATGGCAGAACATACACACTAAACATGTCATTAGGCCAGTTCCCTGGAATGTCCCAGGTAGCCATGACCCTGAACCTCCAAACCGAGGAACCAAATCCATGATGTGTTTGGTGGTACGTAAGCAGCCCTAGCAGCTACTCTTTCTGTTGTCGTTGTAAATGTATCTGCCACCCAACAGGAAACACTGCTTGAACATTATTTGGTTTCTGAGATCTGTGCTGGGTGTTAGGGAACAGAATCGACAATTACTCACCCACAGACACATACTCCATGTAACAAGGGTGCTAGGAAGAAATAGCGGGGGGCCCCTCCCCCAGAATCCATTTTGGATGTAGAGTTATAGCAGCATCCCCTACCCCAAGAAGTGTGAAGGGGCGGCCTACATCATGACGTTGTCTGAGGAAAGTCAGTCCTAAAACGGCTGGGAGCTGATGGAGGGCTACTGCCTTGTTGCAGAAGGATCTTCTCCCCCAACCAAGCTGCGGGCCAGTCTGCTTAGAGTGGCCGAGAGAGTGGGGGGCACCAAAGAGCTCTCCCACCTTCTGTAGTGGAGGAAGTCAGCGCAGCCTCCCCCCAAGTGGAAGGGCTTCATGCCCTCTGAGCCCACCTCACATCTGATAGCCCGTACAGCAGCAACCCCAGGGTCTGGGGCTGTTTACTCAGCTCCTTACACCTGGAAAGGTGGTTGCTGTCCTCAACTAAAATGCAGCCCCCACAAGAAATCAGAACCCCCATCTATGGCCAGTAGGAGTGGAAGAGGTTGCAGAACACCACCGTGGAAAAGAAAGAGTCTGGCAGCTGTTCAGCAGGTTCCACGTAGACTTTGTGTATGACCCAGCGTGTATACCCAAGAGAATTGAAAGCACAGGCCCACCTAGAAACTCACATCTGTATGTTCATGACGTTATTATAAACAACAGCCCAGAGGTGGAAAAGAACTCCATCGGCACGGGATGGGATAAATCCAGTGCGGTCTGTCTGCACGATGGGACTGTATGTGTACACGCCACAGTGTGGATGAACTGTGAGCACATGTGTCAAGTGAAAGACCACATAATGTCAGATTCCATTTACGGGGAAATAAGGTAAATTCACAGAGACAGTAAACAAATGAGGGCTGGCCAGGGCTAGGGGGGAGAGATGGTGAGTGACTACAAAGAGATACAGAGGGTTTCCTTTTTGGGGTGATGAAAATGTTACAGAATTAGATAAAAGTGAAGGTCAAACAGCCTGGTGAATATACCAAATGCCACTGAATTGTACACTTTAAAAGGGTGCATTTTTATAGAATGAATTATATGTCAGAAATAAAAATGGAATCCTCACCCCCCAGCATTCTGCCTGGGAGCAGCAGTCTGTCCCCTGCTGGGAGCAGATTGGCCTTGGTGAGCCCCATGGCTGAGTTGGTAGCTTCCCCCAAAGGCCTGCCATCAGCCACCAGCCCCAGGTGTTGGCAGGGCTGGGGGCAGCTGATGGGGAAAGGTGTGTGTGGCCGGGATGCTGTCCCAGTGGCTGAGCGGTCACTGGGGGCCCCTCTATTCTCCAGATCCTGGTGAAGACCATGATTCGAAAACGTTCCTTTGGGAACCCATTTGAGGGCAGCCGGCGGGAAGAGCGTTCCCTGTCAGCGCCTGGGAACCTGCTCATGTGAGTATCCAGGCTTCTGTCCCCAGGCACAGGAGGGAGCTCGCGCCGCTGCTGGTTGTGGGGTGCTGTCCTGTCCAGTCCTCTCATTTTGGGAACAGTTGCCCCTTACCATTGTAATCTCCTTTCTTAGGAGTACTTGCCTTTAACTGAAGTTGGGAGGTGAGGGGCTGGTAACTGTAGACAGGAAGCCCTTTGTGGCTTGAAGCCTTGATGGGTTGGGTGAGTGAGGATGACCTGGCTCCCAAGTCCCTCATGTATCGTAGGAGGTCACCCAGGCAGCAACCCTGCCAAGTGGAGGTCTGGGGTGGGAGCCCTGCCAGGGTGAAGCCCAGGCATTCCACAGAGCCCAGTGTCCCTCCTCACTGCCCTTTTCCCTCTCTCTGGCGGTTCTAGCAAAAAACCCACCAGGGAATGTGAGCCCCTCTCTGAGCCCAAGGTAACACCTGCTGCTTGTGCGTCGCCTCTGCGGGGGCCTGGGGAGGGCAGCTGCAGAGCACGGGGGGCCATGCTGCCTCCACTGGCCTCTGCTCCTGGATGAGAGTCAGGGGCTTTGGCCTGTGCATGTGGAGTCAGGGCTGCAGTGCATGGCGCTCCTCTGGGATGCCCGGGGCCTCTCCCATGTCACCACTCACTCTGCGGCGATTCTGCTGGTCTGCATGGAGCAAGCTCTGAGCAGGGAATGAGCGAATGAACGAATGAAGGCTGTCTCCCTGTGTGGTCCTGCCCATGACATCTCCAAGTGGGAATGGGACCTAGTGCAGTTCTCTGGCCCCCCTGCCTAATGACTGGCACCCACACATGGTCAGGGTGAAGCTCCCCCTGCTCTGAGGGCCGGGCTCCCAGCCTCACCAGCATGTTGACACCTAGAAAAGAGAACCCCTCTGCCTGCTGCAGACTGAGTCTGGGGAGAGTCCAGAGCTCCTCCTTCTAGATAGGCTTTCCCTCTCCACCCAGCCTCCCTACCCAGGTCAGCCTGGCCAGCGCTTCTGGAACACAGAGTGAGTGGGAGGGCTTGTGCACGGAGTCTCGGGTGGCAAATACTAGACGGTCCTGCACCAGCTTGCCTGTCAGTGCCCAGAGCAGAGCAGTCCCCAGGGCTCTTCCCAGGATCTGGGTCCCTCCTGCCCTCAACTTACAACTCCAGACACTTGTTTCTCAATTTTCACAATGTAAGGAACTTTGGTTGGGCTGTGGGTTGGGCAGTGGCCTGCTAACCACAACGTCTACAGTTCAAACCCAGGAACTGCTCTGTGGGAGGACAATGAGGTTGTTTGCTCCTATAAAGATTTACACTCTTAGAAACCCTGTATAGGGTCGCTGTGAGTCGAATTGACTTGATGACCGGATGTACTTTGGTTTTTGGTTTTAGAAATGTAATTCACGTAGAAGTCACCCATTTGAAGTGCACAGTCCAGCGGTGTTTAAGTTCACTGAGCTGAGTGTCCATCAGTACAAGATGGTCATGAGCCCAGAAGAAACCATGCTCTCCTTAGACTCACACCCCAACCTCCCACCTTCATCCTCCAACCTAAGCAGACCCCTCCCTTTGTCTTTCAGCCTTAGCAGTTTCTGGACCTTTCCAGGCTTGGCATACACTTGGTGTCTGGCTTCTCTCCCTGAGCACCCTGTTGTCTGGGCCTATCCACGTGGCAGCATGTGTCAGGCCTTCATTCATTTTTTAGGGCAGAGTCGTACTCCGTTGGGTGGCTCTCATACCCATCCATTTGTCTGTTGGTGGACATCTGGGTCCTGCATAGGCTGTGGTGAACACGCATGTACGAGAATAGACATAGCTCTGTCAGGAGATGGCTTGTGAGGGGTCATGGGCTTCGTGTGCAGGATTACTTACGGTTTTGAGAGAAACCTCACTAATTGTGGAGCAAGCATAATGGCAATGAGCAATTAGAACTGGGCAAGTAGAGCCTCCAAAGGCTGCATGGGCCTCGCCAACTTGTCCCCAGATGTCTTTGCATCCCGATGACCAGGCGGCCCCCCTGTAGGTTGGTGCCTGATGGGTGGGTGGTGCAGAGCCGAGCCCATCTCTCACCTGTCCTCTTCTCCCTCGTGGCTTTGCGGTGGTGCTTGGCTGCAGTGGTGCCGGACCCTGACTCCTGGAGGCCCCATGGACTGTGCAGTAAAGCTCTCCTGGTCCTGTGTTGTCCGCTCGATCGTTTTCAGATTGGACCATTGTTATCTATAGGATAGTTTTTACTGGCTGATTTTCAGTAGGTTGCCAGACCTTTCTTCCTAGTCCCTGTTAGTCTGGAAGCTCCACCAGAGCCTGTTCAGCATCCCAGCAACATCTGCAAGCCTCCAGTGACAGCCCGATGGTGGCTGTGTAGAAGGTCCATTGGCTGGGACTTGATCCCAGGTCTGCTGCATGAAGTGTGAGAATTCCCTCCTTGAGGCACCGCTACTGTGAGGTTGGCCTCCCGTCTGTATGCAAGTCTGTGGTTTCTTTTAAAAATCCCAGTTCAGTGAGGGTAGCTGGGCACCAAACGTTTCTTCTGAGCTCCTGTCAGAGGACGTGGTAGTCCACGTGGCAGTTCAACCTACAGTCAATTCCTGGGGCTCCTTCTTGAGGCCCCTCTTACTGCGATTTCCTGAGCGGCTCCCGGAAGCCTCACTGGTAGCCATTCATGGACCCCTGGGCACCTTCCCTCCCTGACTTGGCTGCTCTGTTCTGGCATGGTTATGTCACCAGGTGAGATCCTTCTCTTCCATCTTGGGGCCAGAGCCTGGAGGCACTTTTGTCCTGAACGTTTCCCTAAGCCTTCCTCAGTGCTGCACTCAGACCAGACGGTCTGCTCTGTGTCCCTAAGTTGCTCGGCTGCCCTGCAAGAGGTCACAGCCTGAAGCGGGAGGTAAAGCCGGGACACCAAGACCCAGAAAATATGCCCCGTGCTAGGTGTCACGTAGACATGCTCATCTCCTTTTATAGTACCCTTGCTAGTTTTGACAAATGAACAGTGGAATCAACAACAATTGTGAGGATGTGGCAGGACCCTGTGGTGTTTCAGTCTGTTTGTACGTAGCGTTAATGCATTTGACAACATACTGGTTTCCCACTTACAGAACTGATACAAAGTCTCTTTTGGAAATTTTATTGATGCAAGAGAAAAGGGGAGTGAATGTGAAAGAAGCCATTCACATTACAGGTGTTGGGAATGACAGCAGCCTGTCCGGTGCAGTGGAGCCTGGGTCCCCCCTACCTTGGGTCCTAACTGGTTTTTCTGTTCGTGAGCAGGAAGGTCGTCAGCGCAGACAGTCCTCAGGGCTCCTGGCCGCCCCCCGTAGGGGAGGAGGAGGTGCTCCTGTGAAGGCTGGGTCCCCTGCCGACAGTTGGGGAGTCCCAGGTGCCGGCTCCCCTGCACGCATGCAACCCCCACAGCCTGAGGAGGAAGTGATGGAGCCGGAGTAGCTGCCGGGACCACCGCTCGCATGCCGCCTCCGGTGCTGCTCCGTCCGCCTCCCCCAGCAGCATGCCCTGCGGACTCACAGCATCGATGTCTCTGGTTCTGTTTCTTCCTTCGTTGTGTGAAAGGGGACCAAAAAAAAAAAAAAAATGAGACTCAACTCCCTAACATCCACCTTGGCCACTGGCTGGCTGGAGGGGCTGGTGTGTGAGGAGTTGCAAACCCAGCCCCCATGCATTTCGGGGCCATTGCTTCTTAAGATGTTTCTATGCCAAAAATTCTTCATGGTGACTTCAGAACCATGTTCAGCACACCAAGTGAACATGTAGGAGAGATTTGTACATCGAGAAACGCTGGCAGAAGACCCTCTGAAGCTATGGGGGGAGTTACTGTAACCGTGAAGAATGGGTGTTTCCTCGTGCACACTCCAAACCATGGAACCTCTGGAAACAAGGACTTGGGCATTCAGAGTAGAGCTAATCCTCTGTAGCTGTAGGGATATTTGCCGCAACTTATTTGTAAGAAGGACTTTTTACAGTTTTTATGGGTAAAGTTGTAGTCAGGAAAATGGAAAGGGCTTTGAAGTTCAGTTAATTGCTTCGGATGGGATTTTTCTCCCCTACCCTTGGAGGGCATTCTGCAATTGTGGGAAAAATTTCACCTAACGTACTGACCAGGTTTCTCTTCAAAGCGGAATTCTGAAGAAGTTGACTGAGCTCTCATAAATCTCCTTAAACAACCAACACTTCAGGGTGAAATCCTGCACTTCCATGTACATTCCATGGCTTCAGATTAAACAGTAACTAAAGAAACTGTTTCAGTTCTATAACCTGAACTCCAGGGCAGTTCAGAAATTATTTAGAGCTTCCAGGATGTATTTCATTGTGTCAAGCATGTGACCGGGGTTCAGAGCCAATGAGATCCCTGCCTGTATATTAGCAGCTTCATGTGTTTAGAACCCGTGTATTTAAGAGATGGCTGAGCTTTGATTTCCTCAGGAACACTAGCTGATTACTGACATCAGTGGAAACCAGTACCTAGTAAAGAAATACTGCCATTCAACGAAGATGCACACGATCTCCACCACAGTGTGTTCAGATGCACAAAATAACTTTGGGGCGCTGCTTTCGAGAAGATTGGGGAAGCCTAGAGCACCCATCCTCAGGTTATGAGAGAACCAGAATTTGGCACAGGGAACCCTCCCCCTCTTTTGTAAACAAAAATCCAGAAAGAAAAGGTCTTCCTTGTTTGACTTACGACCATTATTGAGAAGTTCAAGTGTAAGGTCTACCAGAACCACATAGGGGAAGTTGTGACTTTGGTTTGGGCAAAGACTGGAAGGACTGCCCTGGGAAAGGTATCCCTGTGCTTTGTGGAATGGGGGTTGACGGCTCCGAAGATATGCCTTTCCCTAGTTTCCTTCTGATTAGCTGATGGTCTGAGTCCTTCTTGCAGACAGTTCCCGTGCACACAGCCCCAGGCCTTCTTGGCTTCCAGCGATTTGTCTTACTCTTTTGACTGTAGGCTAGCCAGACCTTTCTTGCCATTTTATAAGCAGCACAGAATTACAGAATGCTGGGTTAGAAGCACAAAGAACGCCAGGTCTGACAGAGGGCTGTCTTGACATCTTGCCTGTCTTTTTTTTTTGTCACCTAGTACTTCCTCTTGCCCTCCCATGCTCCTCTTTAAGTGTATGGGGGAAACCCACCTCTTCTGTTTTGGCTGGGCTAGTTTGCAATAAGCACCTTGCAGTGGTTAAAGTCACCTGTGCTCCTTAGTGTTTGAAGCAACCCCCGGGAGGGCAGACAAGCTCTGTGGAATGCCTGTTTACACAAGGGCATCTGGCAAAGCCGTTCTCCCCACCTTGAAACTTGCCAACTCAGATTTCACATTTTGGGTGACATCTGTCTGGATGGTTGGGTTGGCGGAGTTTGTCAGTCGATTTTTTTACACAGAAACACCAAAGAAAGAAACCCTTCCCCTTTCCCCCAGGTTCCTACTCCCAGGGAAAGTGTGGTAAGACCTGTGAAAGCTGGTGCCTGTGTAAGGTGGAACCTGTCTGAGAAGGAAGATTGCCCATTTCTGGAGAGTGCTAGAGAAATGTTAAGAATAGCCCCCTGTTAAAGGCGGGATCCTGACGAGCTCTGGAAAAGCAAGGCCACCTCCACATGCTCATCTCTTATGAGCAGAGCTGTAGAGCCCCACTTTTCCAGAGCACAAACATGCTGGGCTTTAAAAGCCAGCTGTACACCAGGACTGCAACTGGGAAAGGGAGAAGATTTTAGTAGCTGTTTCAAGTGGTCAAAGGAACACCCTCAGTTTCTCCTGGAAACTATAGGACCAATCGAGTGTGTACCCTGTGGCTGACACAGGCCTGTCCGCCTTTCCTCTGTCTATTCTGCGACCTGGCCAGCATGTCTTTGGAGCCCTCTGCTCCCAGCCTGAGAGGTGCTCCCTGCTGGCTGGGCCTTTCCTGGACACAAGGCTGCCTCCCTCCAAATCTTTCTGGAATAAGGGGCAGAATCCACTGTTCACAGGTGAGCTGATGTTGCCTAGTAGAAGGGCGTGGCTCCTACTTGCTTCCAAGGTGCTAGGGATGGTCTCCCGGTCTCGGTCCCCCTTCTCCCCAGTTGGGCAAGCCGGGTCTTACGAGACTTCTACTTTGTACTCTGACCCAGTGAATGCCGATGCTCATGTTTTATTCCTGGTCTCATCTACTATGCATTTTCCTTTTATCAGGTGTACAGAGTTAAATACTGTGTATTTATCACTTACAAGTACATGGACTTCAGAGAAAATAAGCCTTTGGTGTTTGTTTGTTTTCCCCATGGACGTATAAGCTTCTCTGTAAACTTGAAATAAACAGACAGCAAAATGGTGCACAGCCTGGGCCTCTTGGGAATCTTCTCTGGACTGTGGCTTCTCGACGTCGTATGTGTTTGCCTTCGCTGGGCTCCATTGGCCAGGCCAGGGCCAGTTTAGAGCATGTCCAGGGACTAGGCTGCTCAGTGGGGCCCCAGGCCAGCACCGTTAGCATCGCTGGGAGGGCAGCTAGGAATGCAGGTGCACAGGCGCTGTCCCAGACCTGCTGAGCCAGATCCTGCCTTCTTCCAAGCTCCCCAGGTAGGTCCTCTCCACACCCACAGGCAGTTGGTAGATTTCTGGTGGAGAACAAACAGGTGAGCAGCCCAGTATCAAGTCTTGTCCTATGGGCTGGAAGACAACTGTACCCTATGAGATAGGCATTCCCCTATTTTCTGATCATCTGTTCACCATGGCCAGTTGTCCAGGGCTCACCGTTTTCTAAGAAGCAAGACAAGGCTCTGGATAGGAAAGGAAAGCCCCCAGTACACACATACCCAGGGCCTTGTCATGGCTGATTTTCAGGGTCTGTTGATGGGGCTGCTGTGCCCTGCAGAGCAGTCTGAGCACCTGCGTGTCTGGATCCAGCACGTGCCGTTCAATGGCGTTGAGTCCCACTTCTGTTACTGAGGGCCAGCAGATGGTCTGTGGGGAGATTCCTGTTCCATATTGCTGAGATGGCAGACTCAACTGCTGACCACTAACAGTCTAGAGCAGGGCACTGATCGGTCAGTAGTCAAACAAGCCCCTCACCGCCGCTGCCACCACCACAGAGAATCTGAGGAAAGCTCACAGAAATGCAGGAAGTTTGTCGTTTTGCAGTTTTAGCGATTGCAGAATGCCCTGGGAGCCCATCGCTGGACACAAGGTTGAAGCATGCTTACTTAAGAGGCAGCTTGCTGAGTCAGGGGGATGCAGGAGAGCTCCGTGACTGAGTACAATATGCAATGCCACCCCTCCCCACCCTTCATGTTCCATCTTAGTTGCCTTTGAATTGAATACAACTCACAGTGAGTCTCCAGGTGTTAGTGGAACTGTGCTCCCTAAGGTTTTAATGGCTGATTTGGGGAAGTAGACAACCAGGTACTTCCAAGGCACACCTCTGGGTGGACTCCACCTGCCACACCTTTTCATGGCAGCTCAGTGTGTAACTGTTTGTGCCACCCAGGAACTCTCCAACCTAGAGAAGGTGAGGCTGAACTCAAAGAGGTCTCCCTCTCAAGAAGACAGCCAGTGACTGGAAGGTTGATCAGTAAACCAACACCAGGTGCCTCCGCTTCACGTCACCCATGGGTGCAAGCAGGCATTGCTGAACATGCTGGCAAGACCCGAACTCTGTCAAAGGGGTTTGGTACACATATTTTGTTTCCCTTTCCCCAAACAAGCCCAGGTTGTTGTATTTTGTTGTTGTTGTTTTAATCCAGCAGAAGCGGAGGCTTTTTGAAAAACACTTTGGTCTTCTGGAAGGAATTCATGGCAGAGGGGAGGGGCAGGGAGCTCGATCTTAAACACCTGGTGCAGACTTAAGTCGGTGTGAAGGCGAAGCTAGAAATAGCTGACATTAACATCGCAGAACAGGCAACAAGGTAGGTGTAGGTGGTGCTGCTTTGGGTTGGGGACTTCTGGGAAGCAAACAGGAAGTGGAGGTAAGCCATTTCCTTGCTATCTCAAATTCTGCCTTTGTTGTTATGTGCCGTGGAGTCGGTTCCGACTCATAGTGACCCTGCACAGGGTTTCTGAGGCTGTTAATCTGTACGGGAGCATTCCTCATCTTTCTCCCGCGGAGCAGCTATTAGTTTCGAACTGCTGACCTTGCGGTTCGCAGCCCGATTCGTAACCACTATGCTACCAGAGCTCCTAAATTCTGCCTTTAGAGCAGCAAAATCTGTGAAAGCCAGACCCTGCCAGAAAAGGAAAACAAGGATTTCCCACTAAAACGAGTGTTGGAAAAGTGGTCAGAGGTGGAAATTTTTGAGCCCTGGGAAATATAAGAACAAGGCCACCTGGCTTTCATATCACTGTAGTTTCTGCAAAAACGTGAGAAGACAAACAGTCCCTAGAAGCCAATCTAAAACCACTGCCGTTGGTGTGTGCTCCCTCGGGTTTCTGAGACTATAATCCCTATGGGGGCAGGCAGCCTTGTCTTTCTGCTAAAGAACCACTAACCCACTGGGTGACCAAGGCTAAGAGTCACTAGAGAAAACCAAAATCATGTAAATTCACCTGATGTCCCACAAGTCCAAAAATAGCTTCAGGAACCTTTCCCGAGCATGGTGATCTGGGACAGCAAGCAAAGTTATAGGCCAGGGAAAAGGGTAGGAAGGAAAGTTCTAGTGCAAACAATGAGAAAACACACAGTGATTAAGAAAAAGGTTTTAATGTTTGGTCCTCTGTCATAACAACACAGTGCTTCTCAGAGGAGACGTGCTCACTGCATGGTGGTCGGGGCCATGTCCCAGGCCCTGAAGTGAACAGCAGTCTGAGTGTGCTCAGAGTCAGGTGGCCTGCCTTCCTCCTTTATAAAGTGCCTGAACAGAGCTTCTTGTCTTGGGGCCCTGGACTTGTCTGTCTAGAACAGGCTAGAGACAGGAGCTTTGGAGGAAAACCAGTCCAGGACCCCAGGAGCACACCCCCCGGTCAGAGAGCACAATAGCATGATGACTAAGGGCCAGAGCTCACGCTGGAACCCAAAGGGGTCCTAGAAACCCTAATCCAGGCCCCATGAGCCCCACCCAGTCAGGATCAGAAGCCCCTGGAATCCCACCCCAAGTCACAGGATGAGCAGGTAACCCAGCTAAAAACCCTGGCCGCCTTAGCAGAGGAGGTAAATGGATCCTACACCTCAAACAGGAGCAGCTGGGAAGCCGGGACTTCCTCATGGAGCGGGGTCAGAATCCAGATCTCTGCCGAGGCTTCTTTTTCACACTGCTCTGGCAAGGGCTGTGGGAAGCCCAAGTGTGTGGAGGGCATCACTAGTCTGTCTCACTGTGGAGGCCCTGCAGAGAAGGGTGCACACATTGTTGTTGTTGTGAAGTGCCTTCGAGTCGGTCTCGACCCATAGCGACCCTGTATAGGGTTTCCGAGAGTGTAAATCCTTACGGGAGTAGAAAGCCTCATCTTTCTCCCGCGGAGCGGCTGGTAGTTTCGAACCACTGACCTTAAGGTTTGCAGCCCAATTCATAACCGCTACGCTACCAGAACTCCTTATGTGTACCAGATGGAGTCCAAACCTCCGGGTACATACATAAGAAAGTAAGCGTGTTTGGAAATCGGCTCTTTGCAAGTGTATCAGTCAAGTTAACATGGAGTCACACCAGAGGATGAAGGGTCCTACTGCAATCTGAGGGTGACACAGAGGGGAGCTGGCCAAGCAAAGATGCACCCGTGAGCCAAGGAAGACCTAGGGTTTGCAGCAGCTGGGAGGAACTAGATGGATCTCTCCTAGACCTTTCAGAGCATGGCCCTGCCGACACCTAGATTTCAGAGGCGAAAGAGCGTTTCCACCAACACAGCAGCTGGCTCCTTGTGACATGCAGCATGACCACGTCCACAACACTAACTAGCCTGAGGTGACATTAATTTAAACCCAGGCTGCATTCTAGAAAGTGAGTCGGTGAGTGGTGGTAAATGGGACTGGTGGCCACCATTGAAGAGTCTCACCCCAACCAGGACTCGGGGTCCCCTCATTAGTACAAGATGCTGACTTCTCAGACCTTCAGGCCTGCTGGGAGGCCAGGAGATGGCTTACCTGTTCGTAATCTTCGACAAATTTGTATTTCTTCTCTCGGTAGTACTGCTTCTTCTTCATGCAGTAGAGAACTATGATGTCACAGAGCACTGTGGCCTGAAAGGGGGAACCCGAAGGTCTTAGTCCCTGTTACCCTGCCAGCGTCCCATTCCAGGAAGATGGAGTCTTCACTCCATCTTGGAAGAAGACTAGGTCCAAGTGGTGCTGTCTTAGGAAAGGGAAGGGGGGCAGTGAGGGCTCTGGGGAGCAAGCACCACGTGGCACCCGGGTCTGCTGTGGAAGTGAACATGAAGGTCTAAGTGACTTACCACCCCTAACAGGGCCAAGCCGGAGCCCACATTAATCATGGTAGGGATGATGTCAAATTTCCCAGCCTGCAAATGACGGAGAGAGAAACAGAGTTGGACAAACGGTAAGGGAGAGCAGACAGAGGGTGGGGGGCAGGCCCCTGGCTCTGCACACCAACAGAGAGGAGAAGGTGAGGCTACCTTCCCAAACACGATGATGTTGAAGCGGATGCCGTAGGCCTTGATGAGGGTCCGGTGCTCCACGCCGCCTGGGCTGTTGTAATACTTGGCAAACCTGGGGGAAGGGGGCGGGTTAGAGGAGCGGTCAGATTCACGCTCTGTGTGCCAGCAGAGGAGGTTTGATCAGCACCCACCCAACTCCTGGAAGATTTGCTCTGCCTAAGAGGCACCTCAGGTGCTGGCCGTGAGCACAGGAAGCTCTCCCCTAATCACAAGACGACTCCTGTGACTTCAGCCAGAACTTCCTGTCTGACCGTCCTTCCTGATACAGCAAGCCCCCTGCTCCTCTCAGAGACCCTGGCCATTAATGGGTAAAAAGTGCCAACCATCACATCCTCTAGGACCACATGGCAGGGGGCTGGGATCAGCTACAAAACTCACAGCATCAGCACGAGATCCATCAAATGATGAACAAACACACAGAATGTGGGCTGTGCAGGTAGTGGAAAATTCTCCAGCAGTAAAAGGGAAGTTCTGATCCATGCCTCTATATGGTGAAGCTCAAAGACACCATGCTGAGTGAAAGGAGCCAGTCACAAACGGACAAATGTGGTGTGTCTCCATGCTTATGGAATGTCCACAACAAAACCAAACCCACTGCCACCGAGTCCGTGCCAGCTCAGAGCAACCTGACAAGACACAGCAGAACTACCCCATAGGGTTTCCGAGGCAGGAGGTATTTACAGAACCAGATAGCCTCCTCATTCTTCCAGAAAGTGGCTGGTGGGTTCAAACTGCCGACCTTTTGGTTAGCAGCCTGATGCTTGACCCAGGGCACCACCTGGTCTATGAATGCCCAGAAGAGGCAACTCTATGTACAGAAAATAGGTAAGTCAGTTGTTGTAGTCTGAGGGGGAAGGGAAGCAGGGCGGTGGTAGCTGAATAACAGGGTTTTGGGGGTGACAAATGATTAAAATTAGATAGTGATGTTTGTACAGCGCTGTAACCATATTATAAACCACCGACTTGTACGCTTGAAATGGTGAGCTTCACCAAACCCACTGCCATGGCGTCGGTTCCAAGACCCAGCGACCCTATAGGGCAGTGGCAATGCTCCATAGTGGCTTTCCGAGGCTGTAAATCTTTTACGGGAGCTGACTGCCCTTCTGTCTGCTGTGGCGCAGCTAGCGGGTTTGAACTAACACCCTTTGGTTAGCAGCTTTAACCACTGTCATAAAATTGTTTTTTAAAAAATCAGAAAACAACAACCCATCACAGACAGGGAAGCCTTTGAGACAGGATACTATGTGCTGCCCTGTGTCCCACAAGGAACCTCAGGAGCCGACACCCTAGGCCCTGAGCCATTGGGTCTGCAGCCTCCATGTCGTGCTCAGGCCTGGGGACCTTGGGCAAGGCCAGAGGTTGGGGGACCCCGTCCTCCTTGAGGGCCTTACTGCTTCTCTGTCCAAGCCAAGCGGTTTCCACAAGAAGCAGGTGAATCAAGACATCTAACTGCCTTGATAGCAGCAACCAGAAGGCTCCCAAGGATTTTCTCCAGCCAAGTGATTCCCTAGTAATCCCAAGTGTAGTGACTCCGTGTGTTACCACTAGAGGGAGACCTATGCAACACAAAAACACCGCTGAATGTGGCAGTGTATTGGATAGAAAGGGCACAAAAAAAGCTACGTGACTAGATTCCTTTGCTTCGGGGGAGCAGCAACTAGGACCTGCACTCTGGAATTGTGGAGTACGCTCGACCATCCACAAACCAATTCCTGGCCCAGGCCATAAGGGACTTTGAACTGGAGGTCCGTAAGTCATGTTGTAATCAAAATTAGCCAAGAGCCCAGCTGAGGCTGACCCAAGAGAGCTGAAGCCATTGGGCCGTTAAAAAGCAGCTGAAGTTAAACAGAATGACCGTTTGACCCGGCAATTTCACTCCTAGGTAAGTGCCCAAGAGACGTAAAGCAGAGACTCAAGAGACTGTGCACAGTGTGCCCTGAAGTGTTAGTCACAAAGGACAAAAGGTGGACGCAGACCAAGAGTCCATCAACCTGACGAGTGGAATAGTACTCCGCCACGAAGAGGAGGATGATGCAGAGTGAAGCTGGTGGTGGATGTGTGCCACTGAGTCGGTTCCAATTCAGAGACCCCATATAGGGTTTCCGAGGCTGTAAATCTTTACGGGAGCAGAAAGCCTCATCTTTCTGCAGTGGAATGGCTGGTAGTTTTGAACTGCTGACTGTGAGCTCAGCAGCTCGATTCGTAACCACTACACTATCAGGGCTTGATTCTTCTACGGTCCATACGGAATTGATGCATTTGAGCTATGGTGTTGGAGGAGAATATTAAAAGTACCATGGACTGCCCAAAGAACAAATAAATGGTTGTTGGAAGTACAGCCAGAATGCTTCTTAGAAGTAAGGATGGCCACACTTCATCTCTCAGACTTCGGACATGTTATCAGGAGGGACAAGTCCCTGGAGAAGGATCTCATGCTTGGTAAAATGGAGGGTCAGCAAAGAAGAGGAAAAAGAGATGGACTGGTACAGTGGCACCAGCGATGGGCTTAAATGTAGCAACGACTGCGAGGTTAGTTAGCACAATGTTTCATTCTGTTAGGCATAAGGTCGCTGTGAGTTGATACTGACTCGATGGCACCTAACGACACCACCACCACCAGGGCTTAAAAGGGCAAATACGTATGAGAGAGCTTCAGAAAAGCTTGTGAACAAAAGGAATGGACAGCTAATAGAATTTTTCACAAACTTTTTGAAGCCCCTTTGTATGATCCCACTTAGTAAGAAATAGATTGAAAAAAGCAAATGCATAGAAAACAGCAAGTAGATTAGAGGTTACCATGGGCTTGGGGGAGGCAGAAGTGGTAGCTACTGAGCCAATTCTGACTCATGGTGACCCCACATATGCCGTGTAGACTGCTCTGGAGGGTTTTCTAGGCTGTGACCTTTCAGAAAAAGATTACCAGGCCTGTCTTCTGAGGTGCCTCTGGGTGGGTTCAAACAGATGACCTTTTGGCTAGTAGTCAAGTGCTTAGCTGTTTGCACTTCCCCAGGATCATGTTCCAGAAATCATGGTGAAGGCTGCACAGGAAGGCAAATGTAGCTGATGCCAGTGAAGTCTACACCGAAAAATCTCTGTTACGCAAGGAGGCTTTAAAAAGCTCATTGAAAATACCATTATCTTTTAATTCCATTTACCACAAACTTTTTAAGGCCCTGGTATTTTATAGACAAGCAAAAAAGCCTTAGCTGCCCTGAGTGAGTGGGCAGGCAGGGTGGTCACAGGCGACTCTCGAGTGTGGGCTGGGGTTGCTGGGTGCCAGCCCAGGAAGAAACTCCGTCCCAGTCACCCACCACCACTTGTGAAACGGGCCCCACAGTCATTCCCACCTGAAGTTGTATCCAGGAGACACGTTGTGATCATTGTCACGGTTGTCGAGGCGGCGGAAGGAATACCTGGGCAGGCAGTGGGAAGCAGCTCGGTCCAGGTTGCAGTCCCATTTAATCTGGATGCCCATGATGCCGCCCTGGGGGTTTGAGACACACACAGGGCATGGTCTCTCAGAGGGCATCTGGCTGTGAGAGAAGTGGGGCCACAGACCTGGGGGGCCCCCACCTACCTCCACAGCTATGTCCTGGAAGCTCTGTCCCGCACTTGCAATGATTTTGCCCAGACGGAAGATGGGGCAGAAGGGATCTGTTTGAGCGTCATAAATGCACGATTTAAGGTAAGAGGAGCTGCTGTTGGGAAGGATGTTCCTCCTGAAGCCGGGAGGAAGTAGACATAGGAGCCAGGAAACCTCAGTGAGGAGGGGCCCGACTTCTGGCCCCCTGGGACTCCCACACCTGGCCACCACTTACTTGCTGAAATTAAATTTAGGATACCAGATGTTGTTCTTAACCAAAATAGTGAAGTTTTCTGCAGCCTTTAAGAAAGCAGGCCTGAAAAATAAGAACATATAATTTAAGAAAGGTATAAAGGAAGAATCAGTATGTGTGTGTAGTTGCTGTTCTTATTAAGTGCTGTCAAGTCAGTTCTGACTCATAGCAACCTATATAGGGTTTCCAGGCTTTTAAAATCTGTATGGAAGCTGAAAGCCTCATCTTTCTCCTGCAGAGCAGCTGGTGGACTTGAGCTGCCAAACTTGTAGTTCTATGTGCTTATTCTGTGGAGCTACAACACTCGCATAAGGAGCCCTGGTAGGGTGTTGTTGTTGTTGTTAGGTGCCGTGGTGTCGGTTCCGATTCACAGCGACCCTGTACAGGGTTTCCGAAGCTGTAAATCTTTACAGGAGGAGAAAGCCTCATCTTTCTCCTGTGGAACAGCTCGTAGTTTAGAGCTGCTGACTGTGAGATGTACATACTAGGGCCCTTCAAAAAGTTTGTGCAAAAACAGAATGAAAATGGATTTTTTCCACAAACATTTTGAAATCCCCTCGTATACACATACACACATCTGTGTAAAAAAAAAAAAAAAAATTAAAACACACATCTTTGGCAATATCATTTGTCAGGAGAAAAGTGAATCCTCTTTAGAATTTTCTACTCTCTCTACTTGAACTAGGTCAAGAGAAGAGGCTTCCAGTCAAGCCTTCCGATCTCTTCCTCACATGGCAGGACAGTGCCTTCATTAGGGTGGTGGACACTCAGGAGCCTAAGAGAAGAGCCATCCATAGGGGGGACTCTGTGGCCCCCTCACTGGACCATGCTCAGCTGACAGCCGTTGCATTTCAGGACTCGGGGAATTGAGACACAGATCTGATTTTTCACAAGGTAAAACGAAGGTGACTTCACTGGCAGCAGGATCCTACCCTCTTCTCAAAAACACATTACAGTGGCTCTTAGCCACCCTTCAAACAGGAACTGAATCCACGCCCGGAGATCACCTTTCAGCCAAACAACAGACGGACCTAGAAAAGCCTACAACACCCACACGGAATGTGCTCCTCAGAGCAATCAACCGTATGAGGCCAAAAAGGTAGCATTTGTCCAAAAACAAAGTTCAGAAGACAGGAAGAGGCAGGTAAGAAGGACAAGTGGAAACGGGATCCAGGGAGGAAGTGGGAAGAGTGCTGGTCCATCGAGGGAATTGTAATCAGTGTCACAAAACAAACTGCGTAAGACTTGGCAACTGGGAGATGGAGTTGCTCGTCAGCTTTCACCCAAACGTACACAAAATGCAGTCTTCCTGCTTCCTCACAGGGGCCACAGCAGCTTCCGGCTGCTCCAAGTTGGACCTGCCCCTCAGGGGATTTGACTTCTTGGGTGGATTTCTATGGGTGAATCTGACATTCCACCCCCTCCTCTGTTGGGAGAGGCCTCAGTGGATGGATCTTTGAAGCTATAGACAGTGACCTGTAGTCTTCCTGACCCACCTACAGCAATGGGCTCCTAGATGTGAGGAGACAGGTCTAGAATCTCTGTGACGGCTAAGATGAAGGAGACTACATGAGAGTGATATAAGCCCAGAGCTGCCTCCTGGACTGCCCCCACAGTCCTGGCAAAAAGGAAGGAAACAGAGCCAAGAGGGGGAGACCCTGGCGTTGCTCAGTCCCAGATTTCGCCAAGCTGGCTTTTTTTTTGGTTTGTGTGTGTGTGCTGGCATGTTTGTATGTGTGTATGTACATGCATATGTGTGGATTCCTATGTATGGGACTCACTTGGGCACATGGGTGTCAATCTCCACGGGGCACCAGGCTGCCACCTCACATGTCTTCACAGTCTTGTTGAATGGTACACATCTCCCTGTTGCAACTCCTACGGGGACATGAGGACACGGGTCCATGGGGTCTCCTGTTTCCTACCTTTGCAGGGATGGGCACTTTCCTTGGGCACAGGGGAAAAGCCCCTCCCCTCCAACACTCCTCGAGGTGAGGTGTGCCAACTGTAGGCTGGAGTCCCATGCATCTCTGCCAATGTCAAGGCCCAGGTCAAGTGGAGCCACAGGATTCTTAAGTCAGGCAAATGCAGAGAGGGCCCGGAGGCTCCAGTCCAGTCACTGGGGACTTTCCTCCTGCGATCTCCTTGGGTTGGGCAGCCCCCACCCAGGCTGAACTTCGGCTCGGGGTCACAGTGTAAGCCCTTACCACTGCTGTGGGTGTCTGCAGAGCCTGCGGTGCAGTTGGCATCTGACTCACACACAGTGGTCGTATCTGGAACCTGTAAATAGAGAAGTGCCATGGGCCCTGCTCTACAGAAACAGGTGCAGAGAGGGGGGCCAAAGCTCTGCTCCGATAAGCCACCTACCTCAGGACAAACGCCCTGGCTCTGGTTCATGGTGACGATCATGTTGGTCATGATAAAAAGCGAGTTTTCTTCCTGCAGAGCAGAACAAGAAGCGGAGTTGACCATCAGCCACAAAGCCAAACGTTTATGTAACCTAACGGTTGTGTAACTTCTCCTGCATGCTATGCAGGAAACAATTCAGACGGCTTCTCTCTTATAAGAGTCTATAACTTTTTGTTCTGTTTGCATAGGGTCGCTATGTTGTGCACCTAACATAGCCTAACTGCTTCCCTAGTTAAAATCCAGGAGGACTTACACCTATATGTAAAACAGCTATACATGTCACATCTTCAAATGTAGTCTGAGACAAGTATGTGATAGTGGCAATGCATACTGGAATTAGTTATCAGAATACTTTCTCTGATCTTGGATTTAACTGTATCCTTCCATAAATCAATCATTTAACTAGCTAAAGTTCTTTAAAATATACAAAAATTGCCTCAGTATTTTTTCATTAGGAACACAGCAACCCAAAGCATTTTCTTTCTTTGGAATTTGTACACATGTTGAGAGAAGGTTTTTAGAGAATTATCTGGATGCTTGCTAGAAGGCTGCATTTTCTGCCCAGACCACTTGGGGGCTGATTTAGAAACAGGCATCATTTGATTGAAATCCAAGTCTCCTGATTCCCATTGGAGTTCTTTCAAATGAAATCTCTATGGAATATTTTCAATAATCCCTTCAAAATCATTTGTTATATTTCAGCATTTGGCTTGAGAAAAGCCTATGATTTTGTATTTTTATTCATATCTGTAAAATTCACACACATTATTTCTCGACTTTCTTCTAGAACTTTCCAACCAAACTGGAGCTGTGGCCTAAGGACTCCTTCTGTGCAGCCAGAATAATGATTTCCTCTGCCATCACTGTGGCCTAAGCACCCAGGATGTCCACCACCTCCAAGTGAGAAGTTTCCTCCATTTACCTCCGTAACTTACAAATACTACCATTGTGAGAGGTACCGTGACATGGCAAAGGTTAGCAGTGTCAGGTAAGGAGCCCTGTTAGCACACTGGTTGAAGCATTTGGCTGCTTCCCGCCAGGTCAGGGTTGGAACCCACCAGCTGCTCCATGGAAGAAAGACATGGCTGTCTGTATCTGTAAAGGAACCCTATGGAGCAGTTCTCCTCTGTCCCATCCGGTGGTTCTAAGTTAGAATTGACTGGACAGCAGTGAGTTCAGGGCTGGGGGTGGGCAAGTGGGAAAAGGGGTGATTGCTAATGGGCACAGGGTTTCTTTTGGGCTAAGGAAAATGCTTTGAACTAGAGAGTGGTGTTGTTTGCACAACATTGTTAATTTATTTAATGCCACAGAACTGGTTACTTTTAAGAGTTCGTTTCATGTCATGTGAATTTCACCTCAATTGAAAAAACCTGAGCCTGTATGCCAACCTGATTCTTCAATTCAGCCTTGACTTATTAAGGGAGAAGAGCCAACTGTTGCTGAACAAGTCCTCTCCCAACCGGATTACCTTAGAGGTATAAAAGCATGAGCCTGAAAGGTCTCTGATTTGGCTCGTTCCCTCTCCTAACAGGAATTAAGAAATTGACAGCAGCCTCACCCATAGCCAGCAATCATCTCTCCATCTGGGAAGGCTGTGCTATGACTTAGTGGGTATGAAGGCGCCAAACAACTGACTTCATATCTGAAGGGCAATTTAATTGGGATGAAACTAAAGAACTGTAAAAGTGACTTCCCAGTATGAGAAATAAAAAGAACAAAAAATAAACCTGTTGCCACTGAGTCGATTCTCACTCCTAGTGACCCTAAAGGACAGGATCGAACTGCCCTGTAGGCTTTCCAAGACTGTAAATCATTACAGAAACATATCCCTGTCTTCTCCTGTGGAACAGTTAATTCAAACCACCAACCTATAGTTAGCAGCCAAGCACTTAACTACTGCACCTCCTGGGATCCTTGTTGTTAAGTGCCCACGAGTCAGTTCTGACTTATAGACACCCCATAGAGGGTTTCTGAGCCTTTTAAATTAATTTTGGGAGCAGAAAACTTCATCTTTCTCCTGTGGAGCGGCAGGTGGGCTCAAACTGTAGACCTTGTGGTTCACAATCCAGTGCTTATTGTATGGAGCCACCATGCTCCTTAGTGGCCTCTCAATATAAGGAATAAAGGACAAAGAGCCCCCAAATTCAAGATGGATCTTCATTTTAAAACGAAACATCAGAAGCTTAACTCTGGAACCAAAGGAACCAAAGGTATAGACATCCCCATCCCCAGGTTTGACAAGTGGGCAGAAAGCCCTGGGAAAAGCTGTCTTCTTTTACAGAAAAGCCTAGAACAAACTGCTGTAGACATGGTCACAAGGGACCAGACTCTTTCCTAACACCCCGTTATGTTCCCAGGTGTTCAATTAGTAAACGCACTGCCTGTTGGTGCTTCGAGAAGGCTGCTCCTATGGCTCTCCAGAGTTAGACCTCAGCAATTCAATATGGTCTCCTTTTTTGCTTCCTATTTCTCAAGCTTGGGGAAAATTCAGTCTGGAGATGAGCCAAATAGATGTTTGGTTTCCAAATCTAGCCAGACATGAGGACATCATGAAAGACAATGAAGTGAACCCTCTGGAATTCACCTGGACCCAGCTCAACTCCGAAATGGAAGGTAGAGTTACGGGGTATTGCTTTGAGCGGAGGGTCAGAGAGTGCAGGAGGGCTGGTAAGTAACCTTCCTTAGTTCACGTGAACATCCAATTGTTGTCAAGTCAAGTTCTGACTCATGATGACTGTGACAGTAAAATCGCTCTGTAGAGTTTTCAGTGGATGATTTTTCAGAAGCAGATTGCCAAGCCTTTCTTCTGAAGCATCTTTGGGTGAACTCGAACCTCCAACCTTTTGGTTATAAGCTGGGTGTTAACTGCTTGCACCACCCAAGGAGTCCCAAATAAACGCACAGAATGTGAAGGTTCTCAGGGCCAGCCAGGACAAGTCTTCATAGGAAACAATGGTCTCAGCTGACGCAAGGCCACGCCAACACGACCCCCTAGAGTCAGCCAGAGATAACCCCGGTTGTACTTCACCCCTACGCCTCACTAACTTTCTCTGCTCTCTGGGCGACCCCCATCCCCACCTCAGACCTTCCTCTTGAGACAGCAGGATAAATGAACTCATGTAAAGAATGGGGGACATTCCAAAGTCCTTGCATAGTGCTCAGAGCCACGTGTCGGGTCACCCCCATCTGGTCGCCCTATCACCCTAGTACATAAGCCACCTGTAGGGGTATATCTGGTTTACTGTGTACCAGGAAGCAACATGGTTACCATGGCTAAAGAGTCAATATTGAATTTGGAACTGTGGATTAACAGACTCAAGATTGGGATTGCTTCCTTGTCTTTGGTTCCTGATGGAATCCTACGTGGGACTGTCTTTCTTTCTCAGCTTGGCTTTTGGGCTCAAATCAACCCGTTGCCACTAATTTGGTTCTGATTCATAGGGACGCTGCAGGGCAGAGCAGAACTGCTCCATAGAGTTTCCGAGGCTGTCATCTTTATAAAAGCACACTGCCACATCTTTCTCCCTCAGAGTGGCTGGTAGGTTCAAACAGGCAGCCTTTTTGTTAGCTGCTGAGCACTGTCTCACTGACGCCTTTAGTTAACCCTGGTGCCACCAGGGTTCCTTCCTTCTTGATTACCCACCCACTGCTATCGAGTAGATTCCAACACACACACTGACCCTAAATAAAGGACAGAGAAAAACTGCCCTATATGGTTTCCAAGGCTGTAGGAGGTTTTTTTTCTTTTTATTTCTATTATTGTTGAGAATATACACAAGAAAAATACACCAAGCCAACAGTTCCGAGTTCTGCGATGGTCATTACCCTCCTTTTCTGAGCTGTTCCGCTCTCACTAATATAAACTCAGGGCCCCCACCCGCCCCCAGATCCCTTTTTTACTAGTTAAGATAAACAGTTGTTCCAGTTTAAGATGACTTCAGGGGATATTTTTGTTTAAGGTTTAAAGATGATTTCAGTGGTTCATCCATCCTCCATGGCTCCAGAAAGTCTAGAGTCCCGAGGCTGTCATCTTTTGAGAGACCAGATCACCAGGTAATTTCTCCTACAATGAGGCTGGTGGGTTTGAACCACTAACTTTTTGATTAGCAGCCAAATGTAACAATAAAGCAAATACACACTGTGGAAAGCAGCCGATAATTCTACCCAAACTGTCTCCAGGATTTAACGCTTTTGCTTTCTCACCTTCCAGACTTGAGACAGATCAAGGTCTGTCTGGAAAGCTTCCCAGTTTTTAATCCAGCCTCTCTTCAGAGCTGAAGAACCCCAGCTATTTAGTATGACCTGTGAGAACCTGGCTTGGACCAAAGCAATCAGTCAAGGTATATATAGGTGGCTGTACAAGTGTGGCCCAGGCCATCATTAGTCAGGGCATCAGGACAGTGGAGAGGGAGGAGTTAACTAAAGGCGTCAGTGAGACAGACAGTCCTGGTGGGAAACTCACCTGAGCTGGAATCACATAATCTGCCACGTCCCAGATCCGGAATCCGAGTTCAGAGGTGTTAGTAACAGCCACGCCTTTGGCCTTGGTAGTAACCGAGCTGACCACTGAGTCTGTTTCCTGGTAGCCCTTCTCCCACACAAACACCCATCTACAAAATAAAAGAGGCCTCTGTGAATGTGAACTGATGCTTCTTGTTGTTGTTGTATGTGCCTTAGAGTCGGTTCCGCCTCATAGCAACCCTGTACAGGGTTTCTGAGGCTGAAGCTGTAAATCTTAACGGGAGCAGAAAACCTCATCTTTCTCCCACACAGCTGCTAGTTTCGAATTGCTGACCCTGAGGTTAGCAGCGCAATTCGTAACCACTATGCTACCAGAGCTCCTTGAACTGATGCTGGGCAGCATCTGTTAGCCAGAGGCTGAACGTGCACTGATTATTGATTGTTGTGAAGTGTTGTGAAGTCGATTCTGACTCATTTGTTATTGTTAAGTGCCATTGAGTCGGCTCTGACTCACAGCGACCCTGTATAGTGTTCCCAAGGATCAGGGGGGGGTTTGAACTTTAGACCATGTGATTTGCAGTCCAGTGCTGGTCCTACAGAGCCAGATCAGAAATTACATAACTTTAAAAAGCCACTTTTGGGTGTTCCATTTCCACTTTGCAAAGCGAGGACAAATTCAAAACAAAAACCCCAGCCCGCCCATTGCCACTGAGTCAATTCTGACTCACAGACACCCTATAGGACAGAGTAGAACTGCCTCAGAGGGTTTCCAAAACTGTAATCCCAGAAACTGGATTGTGTGAAGAAGGAGGTGTGGTAAAAGGACTAGGGGAAGACTCATTAACAACCTGCAGTATGCATGTGATACAGCCATGTTTGTTGGAAGAGAGAAGGACTTAAAATAGTTACTGATGAAGATCGAAGACCACAGCCTTCAGTAAGAATTGCACCTCAATGTTAAAAAAAACAACTCACCATTGGACCAACAGCATCATAATAAATGAAGGGAAGAATGAAGTTGTCAAAGACTTTATTTTGCTTGGATCCACTATCAACACTTATGGCAGCAGCAATGAGAAAATCAAATGACACATTTGCAATAGGCAAATCTGCTGCACAAGACGATTAAACTGTTCACAAGCAAAGATGTCCGTTTGAGGACTAAGGTGTGCCTGACCCAAGCCAAGGTATTTTCAGTCGCCTCATCTGCATGTGAAAGTTGGACAATGAATAAGGAAGACTATAGAAGAATCGATGCATTTGAATTAGGGAGTTGGAGAAGATTATTAAAGGTACCATGGACTGCCAGAAGAACAAACAGATCTACGTTGGAAGAAGTACAAACAGAGTTCTCCTTAGAAGCCAGGATGGCCAGACTTTACCTCTCATATTTTGGACATATTGTCAGGAGGGACCAGTATCATGTTTTGTAAAGTGGAGGGTCAGCAAGAAAGAGGAAGACCCCCCAATGAGATGGATTGGCACAGTGGCAGCAGCAATGGGCTCAAGTGTAGCAATGATTGTGAGGTTGGCACAGGACTGGGCAGTGTTTCATTCTGTTGTGCATAAGGGTCGCTATGAGTCGGTACCAACTCGACAGTACCTAAAAACAACAATCAGCCTGAATAATTAAAAATAAAAGGTGTTAGCACAATGATTAATGGCCTGGGTTCATGACTCAGCTCCACCGCTCATCAGGCATAACTTTGGGCAAGTGTTTTACTTCTCTTTGCCTCATCTACAAAATGGGAATGATTTAAAAGAAAAGTCACAAGATTGCTGTGCTGTGAGATGAGGCAATGCCTCTCAAATGCTTTGAACATACTGAGCTTTCAACAACTGTTAATCTGGACTGGGCGTCCCCCCACCCCACCCCCACCCCACTCACACAAAGATATGTTGAAGCCCTAACCTCTGGAACCTGTAAATATGAACTTATTTGGAAAACAGGCTCTTTGAAAATTCAATAGGTGGTCAAACCTGAGTAGGGTGGACCCTAATCTTTTCTTACGGGTGTTTTTTATAAAAACAGGAGCCAGGTTGGCACAGTGGTTAAAGTGCCTGGCAGCTAACGGAACAGTTGGTAGTTTGAATAAAAATGTGGCTGTTTGCTTTTATAAAGATTGTTGTTGTTGTTAAGTGCTGTTGAATCCATTCTGACTCATAGCAACCCTGTATAGGGTTTCTGAGGAACAGCCGGTGGGTTTGAACTGATGACCTTGTGATTCGCAGCCTACCACGCAGTGCCATACCAGTAGTCATAATTACTGCCTTGGAAACCCTACACTGTCCTATATAATTAGAATGGACTCAGCGACACTTTTTTTTTTTAATGGGTCCTCAAAAAAGAGAAGAGACATGAGAGAAGAAGATCATGTGATAGTGTAGCTGCACACCAAGGAATGTCTGGGATTACTGGACGCTGGGCCTTCTTTAGAGCCCTCAGAGATAGTACAGTCCAGCCGACACTCTGAGTTTGGACTTCTAGTTTGAACCGTGAAACAAATTTCTGAGGTTTTAAACCATAGCGTTTGTGAAACTTTGAGATGGTAACTCTAGGAAACAGATACATTGCTTGTGGCTTGAAATTATCTATGGTGGAAGTATTTACACCACAAAAAACGGGCCAGTCAGGGCTCATCCCCAACAGAGCTGTTGTGAAACATCGATTAGCGATGATTATTATTTTTATTTTCTCAGGAGTCAAAACAAGCTAACATCTTCCTCCCTTCCTTAGAACTTTAGAAGGTGAGACTTCAGAAATTCACTGGTTTGAGTTACTTATGTACAGGTTTGTCTGATCTGAGCAGTCCCCAAATCCACTGCCCAACCTAGAGATGGGCTTTCTCTCTGACAAATCTTCTTCAGGACTTCTAGGAATTAAGCTGCTAAGGGCAGGTGGCTCAACTGTTACATTACCACCCAGGATGTGAGTTGCTAAATCAGAGACACATAGTTTCACACCAATCATCATCAAGTGATGAACTATTTCCACATCATGTGACTGATAACTGAGCATCAGAACAGTTGCCTGTCTGGTCTCTCTCTAGTTGAGGAAAAGTTGCTGTCTGTCCTTACTAGAGAAGAAACCCCCAGTTTCACCAAGATGAATCAGATCAAGATAAGGCTTAAAAAAAAAAAAAGTCCTAAATTATTCAGATCCTAAGTCAGTTTTGATCACACAAGCTAGGTAAAAGCAAAATAGTACTGTTGATCCTGTATAGCATTTCCAAGGAGGGGCTGGTGGGTTTCAACCAACGACCTTGCAGTTAACAATCCAGTGCTTATCCTCCAGCACCACACTAGGATTCCCAAATCTTACTGCTTTTGAGTTGATTCCGACTCATAGCAACTTTGTATAGCGTTTCTGAGGAGTGGCTGGTGACCTTGTAGTTGGCAGTACAGTGCTTATCCTACAGTGCTACACTAGGAGTTCAAAAGTATTACTGCTTACAAAAATCTTCATGATCAAGGTGGTGAACACTCGGTAGGGAACTGTACCAGTCTATGCTGCCCAAGAAAAATAAATTCAGTTTTCTAACAGTCATGTTAAGGAGCTCTGGTGATGTAACTTGGCTGCCAGCAGGAAGGTTGGCGGTTCAAAACTACCCAGAGGTGCCTCAAAAGACAGATCTGGCAATCTACTTCCCCAAAACCAGCCACTGGTAACAACAAAGCAGTTGTTTCTAATCTGACATACGTGGGGTTGCCATGAGTCCAAGCTGACTCAACAGCAAGCAATTGGTTTAGTCTTAAAATTAAAGGGTGCATCAGAATCACTGGGATGTGGGGGAGTTCTCAAGGAGGTGGGGGAAGTTGGTGAGGGAGGTCCTACATCATCCTTGAGACTTAGTGAATCCAAACATGGGAGTGGTTCCGTATCTGTAAAGCCATGTTCTTGCAAATTGTCAGGTACAGGTTAGGTCCCATAGCCATCCCTTTACCCTGAGTCCTCTCCTACTAGAAAGGGATCAAGAAAAGGGGCAGGACATCTCTAGTCTAACAAGAATGATATCATTGAGAAAAACAGCCTGGAGGCAGAGTTAAGGATATCAGGACCTGACACCCTAATAGAAGCAGCTGGTCGCAAGCAGATGACCCATGAAGATAGTGCCCAGAGCTGACAATTGCAGAAAGCACTCCATTTCTAAGCAACCTGCGCCCCTTTACTAAAAAATGATGAATATTCAACATACCACTCCTCCTGATTAATATGTATTAGGCCACTCTTAGAGTAAGAGGCCCCATACCTTTATAAGCCAATGTACTCCAATCCCAGAGTCTTCTCTGCTCGACAGTCCTCTCTCTGAAGTGTACTTAGCTTTGCAATAAAGAGCTTCTAAGTGAATGCTTATTATTCGTGTGTGACTGAGAAGCGACAACTCGGTGGGACTAATTCTTTAGAGACCCCACCTCCACCCCCCAAGAGCTAGAGGGACCATGGAAAAAGAGACACAATTCCTAGAGTTTCTCACACATGCCCAAACAGGAGAGTCACCTGCAGTAATGTGAACAGATTTCAAGCCCGGCCCCAAACCTAGAAATCAGGAACTCCAAGGAGGATTTTAGAAGATGTTATTTTTCTACAGTTCCTCGCCTCTCATGACTAAGTAAATTTAGGAAACTCTAGGTCCGTGGTTCCCAAACTGGGATGCACATCAGCATCAGCTCAGGGAGTTGGCCACCTTCTGTACCAATTAAATCAGAAGAGTTAGAGATGAGAGCCAGCAATCAGTACATTGTACAGATTCCCCAGTGGATTCAAAGTGCAAAGTGTGGGGACCAGCACACAAGGTCTTTTACAAAAAGCAGCAACTAAGCAGGTGTATCAGCAGTAGACACCTCAATGAGGTGAGGTGACCTTTTCTAGTGGGCCCAGTGGGCGGGGTACCTTCCATCTCCTCTCCAGTTTCATTAAATTGTAATGGGTTCATTCAGTCAAAACCCATCATTTAGGGAGACCTCAAGAGGAGTCCCTGGTGGGTGCAAGCTGTTAATGAGCTTGACTGCTAACCAAAAGTTGGAGGGTTGGAGTTTACCTACAGGTGCTTGGGAAGAAAAACTTGGTCATCTACTTAGGAAAAACCAGTCATTGAAAACTCTATGGCGTTCTACTCTGACACTCATAGGGTTACCACTGAGTTAGAATATATTTGAGGGCAGATGGCTGGGAAGGTGGTATAGCACCTCAAGCCACAGCAGGCCCACAACCAAAACCCAAGCCACCCCATGAAACAAAGGAGTGAACTTTAAAGATCACATGCAAAGCAGGGTCATTTGTTGGGAGTCTGCCTTCCACACTATCTGAGTGACTACACGGTGTTCAAACAAAGCGAAGGCCCAGAAACTGCAGAGCCAACAGGAACCAAGTGGAAATCCCAAGCTTCCTATTCTGGCAGGAGATTGTCAGAATGGGAAGAAAAGGAGCAAAGACTGAGACGTTTAAGGCAAAGTCCCCAATGGCCAAGAGGGCTCACAGCGCAAATCAGAAGGTCCAGATGCAGGAAAGGAAAGAATGGAGGGGCTAGCAAGCTAGCTTTGGAAGTAGCCCTCAGCTGCTGCACCCAGGTCGGACAGGTGGGTGGCACCAAGTGGTACCACACCTGAAGGCCGCCCGCAGGTCCCCCAGAAGCCCCTGGCCACCAGCAGCATGTATGCCGGGCCCCGCGGAGCGCCAAGCGCGGCCACTCGGGCCCCCGGCGTGGGGCTCACCCGATGACGTAGGCCAGAATGAGCAGCTGCACGACGCGGTTCATAAGCCCCACTTTACGGCTACGGATAAGCACGATGCGCGGCGTGTCGTACTCGAACAAAAAGCTCGACAGCGCGCCACAGCCGCACGCCATGGTCCGCACTCGCCGTCGCTACTGCTGCCCGGGCTCCGCGTTCCGCGATCTGCGTTCCGCCGCCGCCACGACCCGGCTCCGCCCGCCGCCCGCCTGACCGCAGCGCAGCCCGTGGGGACCGCCCGGAAGGAGGCGGCGCGTGATGGGAGGGGCCCGGACGGGACGGGACCTCCCCCACCTCGGGAAGCCGTGACCCGCTCAGGGACCGCCCCTTCTGGAACGAGCGACCCCCTCAGGGGGCCGCGGCTAATGACCTCCCAGTGACCAGCCCCTCGGGAATGAATGACTTCCGCAGGGAGACTTCGAAGAATGAATGACCTGCTCAGTGACCTTCCCCTCAGAAAAGAGCGACCGCCTTGGGGGAACTGGAGGTATAAATGATCCCTCAGGATCACAGGTCACCTGCTACTTAATTCTCCCCTCCTCCCCCCAGTTACAAAGGTGCTGCTGCCAACCTCTTTCCCAAGTAATTTTGTTGCTTGTTACGTGCCATGAGTCGGTTCCGACTCTTAGTGACCCTGTACTGCCAGCCTTGCGGTTCAAACCGACCTTACAGTCTAGTGCTTTATCCCACAGCGCCACACCAGGACCCTCTAGGACCATAAGTTGCCAAGTGCTGTGGACTTGGTTCAGACTCATAATCCCCCTGTATAGGGTTTCCAAAGAGTGGCTGGTGAATTTGAATCACCAACACTGAGTGAGGTTCAAACCAACCTTGTGGTTGTGCTTATCCTACAGCACCACACCAAGACTCCATTTTGTTGTTGTTAAGTGCCGTCGAGTTGATCCCAACCAAACCCTGTATAGGGTTTCCGAGGAGCAGTTGGTGAGCCTGAACCGCCAACCTTGCAGTTCAAATGGCTTTGCAGTCTGGCGCATTAACCCACAGCACCACACCAGGACTCCATACGTTCTATCAAAGATTCCAATTCCTTAGTGCAGGCCAGAGAGGAAACAGCCAGGGCAAAATGAGAGGTGGTGTTTCTGTGACCGTCCTTTCAAGTGCCAACATTTTATCACACGTTTAAGGAGAACGGTGAAATAAAGAAAACACCCATCATTCTATCATTCACACACAATTCTCCATGTTTATTCATCACCTTTAGGTATGATTTCATGTTGTTAGGTGATTCAAAGTGACCCTTGCACCGTCCTCACAACTGTTGCTATGTTTGAGCCCACTGTTTGCAGCCACTGTGTCAGTCCATCACGGTAAGGGTCTTCCTTCTACTTTAACATGCATGATGGTCCTTCTCCAGGGACTAATCCTGGTGTGGTGCTGTGGGTTAATGCTCTGGACTGCAAAGTCACCTTGAATCTTGTGGTTCAAGCTCACCAGTCGCTCCCAGGAAACCCTATACAGAGTTGCTATGGGTGGGAACTGACTGGACAGCAAATAACAACAATCCCTCTTGATTACATGTTCAAAGTAGGTGAGACAAAGTATCAACATCTCAGCTTCTATGGAGCACTCTTGCTGTAGTTATTTCAAGACAGATTTGTTCATTTTTCTAGCAGTTCATGGTATATTCGCTATTCTCTGCCAACACCATAAATCAAATGTGTCAGTTCTTGGGTTTTCCTTATCCACTGCCCAGCTTTCACATGCATATGAGGCAATTGAAAATATCGTGGCTTGAGTCAGGCACGCCTTAGTCCTCAAAGTGATATCTTTGCTTTTGAACACTGTAAAGAAATCTTTTGTGGCAGATTGGTTCAATGCAATACGTCATTTAATAGCTTGACTACTGCTTCTGTGGGCATCGACCATGAATACAAGTAACATGAAATCCTTGACAACTTCAATCTTTTCTCCATCTATCATGTTTTCATAGATAAGTTATATATTTGGTTCCATTGACTTATTCAACTAATATTAATAAGCACCTTTCATCTTCTAGGTACTGTCCAGTGAACATAACCAGCGACACTTCCTGTCTGCATGGAGTAGAAATTCAAGCAGGTAATTATAATTTAAAATTTCTTCCAGATTTTCTTCACTCTTCTCCTGTGTTGTTGGCTTCTAGAATGGATCCCATGCATAATCTTCTGGGTATGAGATTTCTAAGCCACACCACCTTGTTTTTACCCTGATATATAAAGAGGTGAATGATGAGAAAATTTACAGAAAGCATCTGCTTGCTTTGTTGTGTGCCGTTGAATCAGTTCCAACTCATAATGACCCTATATAGGGTTTCCTAGGTTGTAAATCTTTGCCAGAGTCTTGTGGTGCTGTAGGAAAAACACTGGACCACAAGGTTAGTTAGAACTATGAAGTCAGTGGTTCAAACTCACCAGCTGCTCCTGGAAAACTTACGAGTTGGAACTGATTCCACGGCACTTCGCAACAACAAACCTTTGCAGGAACAGAAAGCCTCATTTGGTTGGTGGGATCGAACTTCTGACTCTGTGATTCGCAGTCCAGTGCGAATCCGACAGAGCCCGTGCTTCGGCATCTGCCTGAACAGATGGAATTATTTAGTTAGAGGAGAGGAATAGAGATGCCACTTGTCACAGTCCACACTGGTCCTAAGAAAAGGTGGTAGCAGGTTAAGTGAGGTTTTATTCTGTCATTAACAGATTGTTACTAAGCTCCTGTTGTGTGGTTCACAGTCTTCTTGTAGCTGAGGATAGAGAACCAGCATAAATGATCTCTGCCAATTTGGAGCTTGAATCAACTCACACTTTAAATTTTGTGAAGACAAGATAAACTTGAAATCATACAGAAACCTAGTTGCTAGAGACTCATTAGAAGGGGACATAGAGATGATTTCCTAAGAATCCAAACCCATTGTGAAGCCCTCATTAAAATTTATTTTACAATAAGCACAAGACTTCGAATCACAAGGTCCATGATTTGAGCCCACCAGCAGCTCTGCAGGAGAAAGATGAGGCTTTAAAGATGTGAAGATTTAAAGCCTCAGAAACCCTCCCCATACAGGATCGCTATGAGTTAGAACCAACTCAATGGTGCTTAACAATTAATGAATTGGTCCCAGCCTTATACATCTTAAGTTGAAATGATTTCCTTGCCTTTTGGAATGAAGTAAGTTGAATGTATAAATACAAGTTTTTCTAAATTACTGGTGTAACCATTTGGGCTAGAGAGGTAGTTCCTGAAAAAATGATCAGGGAAAAAAATTTATTGACATTCTTGCCTTTTGTGTATGTCTTTTTTGAAAGCAGCTTTTTCTCTTTCTTTTTTCAATACTCAGTGATTATGAGGTTTATTAAGGAAGTGAACAGGGTACAATTCTGGATAAAAAAAATCTCAGAATGCATTTCTCCAGTCAGGAACACCTCTTGTCATCCAGGTTACAAGTGTTACAAAGTTCTTTAGCCAGTCTGTGAATGCCCAAAGGGCACATTCTTCAAGCCAGTCTCCTGCCCATAGGCACTCAGCTGTACTCAGTTCATAGTCCGGGAGACCCAAGCTGCTCTGAAAACAGCTTTTTAAAAATACAAACAGACATTGCCTTCCAGTTGAAGAATTGACTCAGAGTGACCCCATAGGGTACAGAAGAATTGCTGCTCCTCAGAAACCCTATACAGGGTTGCTATGAGTGGGAACTGACTAGATGGCATTTAACAGCAACAACAAATCTTTACAGAAACAAACTGCCTGATCTTTCTCCTCCAGAGAAAGGTTCAAACTGCCTATCATTCAGTTCACAGCTGAGTGCTTTAACCATGGTACCACTTTCTTCTAAGATTTATAGTTTTAGCTCTTATATTTCGGGTTTTGATCTATTTTGGATGTGCAGTAAAGTTCCAACTTCATTCTTTTGTATATGGCCATATGGAGCCCTGGTGTGGCACTGTGGGTTAATGCACCAGACTGAACAGTCTTTGAATTGCAAGGTTGGTGGTTCAAACTCACCAGATGCTCCCCGGAAACCCTATACAGGATCGCTATAGGTCAGAAATGACTCGACAGCATTTTACAACACCAGCAATACAGTTGTCTCAGCACTATTGGTTGAAAAGACTCCCCACCCCACCCCCAATTTGGTGGTTTTGTTACCATTGTCATAAATCCCATTTATTTTTTAACAAAATTCCCACAGATGATTAATACATAACTGCCCACACCCAGATAACTGCCCACACCCAGGCAAGCATACAACAAAAAAGTAACTGAGTGTGAATAAGATTTGTATTTGGAAAACCAAAACTGTTTTGTTTGTTTTTTTGACTTATTTTTACTTTATATAGTATTGAGATTATTCTGGAGTCCTGGTGTACTGCTGTAGGCTAAGCACTGGACTGTAAGGTCACTATGAACCACAGGGTCAGTGGTTCAAACTCTCTAGCCATTCCTCGGAAACCCTGTACAGGGTCACTATGAGTCTGAAATGACTCAAAAACACTTAGCAACAAGATTATTCTAGCCAAGTCATTGGATACATTTACTGTCTTGATTTGCTGATAGTTTCATGAGTATATACATGTGTAAGACTTACCACATTGCACACTTCAAATATATGCAGTTTATTGTATGTCAATTATACCTCAGTAAGACAATGGAGATATAATTTCCTGTTTGAGGTATAAATGATGTACAGTAAACTTCACATATTTAAAGTGTACAATTTGAAAAGTCTGACATATGTCTACAGATACGAAACCATCACCACAGTGAAGATAGTAGTAAAACCCATGTGAAATTGCTCACTACAGATTTGTTGTTGTTGTTGTTAGGTGCCATTGAGTTGGTACCGACACATAGCGACCCTATGCACAACATAACGAAACACTGCCCAGTCCTGGAACAACCTCGCAATTGTTGCTGTGCTTGAGCCCATTGATACTGCTACTTTGCCAGTCCATTGCACTGGGGGTCTTCCTCTTTTTCTCTGAACCTCCACTTTACCCAACATGATATCTTTCTCCAGTGACTGGTCCCTCCTGCCAATATGTCCAGAGTATGAGAGATGAAGTTTGGCCATCCTGGCCTCCAAGGAGCACTCTGGCTACATTTTTTCCACCACAGATCTGTTG